GAAGGAAAAGGTAGAGGGAGGGAAAGAAATAAGGAGGGCAACTATAAGTAAAACTTAAAAGTTAACATCGTTTTAACATAAGATGCGGTATATTCATGGTAAGATAACTTTTACAGTTTAAAAGCAGCATGTTTAAAATAAATGATTACACGATTGTTGACTTATAGTACAGTTAATTGAATCTAATAACTTTTTTCACCATTGGAAAAGGTACATACATTTTAATCACCATATATGGTTTGTATGCTATCAACTTCTTGTATGGCCATACTATAAAATGTATTGATATAAAAAGTGGTTTTTAAATGCATAAACATGTATTATTTGTACATGAAAATGTTCAATCCCTGTTGGTATAATTAGATGACCTTAATTTGGCTAGAATTTTATACTGATAGTTTGAAAAAAGATTTTTCTAAACTCATTAGAACTTTTTTGTTTGTTTGTTTGTTTAACAGGCTACAATTTTAAGACCTTAGCAAGTAACTTGTTGCATACATTTGATTGTAAGCAAAAGTCTAAATTACTTGTAAAACTGGCCACTTAAAACTAACTGATTGGCAGTAGTATGGCATAACTACATGATGTTTTTACATCTTCTTTAAATTTTACTGAATGCATGGTTTCCTCAGTTATCATGTGTTTACTATAACATTTACACTCAAAGTCTCAAAGTGATCTTGAATGATCACTAGAATACAGCTATACAATTTAGGAAAAAAGGTTAGGTTAATAGATACCAAATAAACCCCAAAAACTTGTTTGATCATCAAAAAGTAATGATGCAGTCTGGTGCCAGTGGCTCACACCTGTAACCTTAACTTACTCAGGAGGCCGTGATCGAGCTTTGTAGCCAGCCTGGGCAGGCAAATTCATGAGATTTTCATCTCTAATTAACCACCAAAAAGCTGAAAGTAGAGCTGTGGTTCAAGTAGTACAACATCAGCCTTGAGAGGTAAAGCTAAAGGACAATGCTCAGGCCTTCTGTTCAAGCCCTAGTAATGACACACACACACACACACACACACACACACACACACACACACACACACACAAAGTTCAAGCCCTAGTAATGACACACACACACACACACACACACACACACACACACACACACACACACACACACACACAGAGAAAAGTAATGACCATATTTTCATGAATTAGAAAACAAGCACCAACAATTTTTATAAAGTGAAATAAATTTTAAGCATCAAATGTAAAGTGATCCCTAGAAAATTCATAAAATTAGATGAGTGTCCATATATCTACACAGAATAAGTATTTTTTTCAAAATTAGATTCTAATTTTGAATAAAATTCAACACATAAGCCAACTTATTTCAAAGCATAATAATTTAAAAGAAAGAGAAAGCTAGATAGTCAAATTCCCCTTGATAATCTTCTAGTAACTACCCATTTATTTTACCCTTAAAAATCTCCTCTACAAAAAGTGACAGAGGGAGTGTGATTGATTGGAGCATATTGTAAACATGTGTAGAAACGTAATGGCTCCCTCTGTATAAATAATGTAAGCTAAGAAAAAACAATCTCCTCTATATTATTTGCCCAAAGTAAATTTCAGTCAGAAGCAAATGAATAATTGATACCATTTCTTATGTTTACCTGGTATTTCCATCAATCCATTTCAAAGCTCAAAAAAAAACTCAGTAACATCTTTTCAAATATGAAATTTTCTTAATAAAGGCATTTAAATAATATAAAAATATTCTCCAAGGTTTTTTTTCAATGCAATTATCAATGTGCTGCAATTGAAATTCATTATTATTATCTGTCAGATTTTCAAGTCTTTTCCCAAGCAATAACAAAGCATTTCTTCTTCTTGAATCCTAAACTACAAAATGCTTAGGAATCCAAAATAATGTAAAGTAAAAAAAAGATGCTCTATGATGAAATGATATAATTGCAAATTTCCTTACTACATTACTTATGTTACAAAGCATCAAATATAAAAGCAATGGCTGTTGCTCATTAACACTGCAGAAATATCTAACACTTGTATGATTCTACTGCATAAAATTGCTTGCTATACTACATGCATCAAATGACAGTCTGCAGTATTATTATAATCATTTACAGAACATTACAAAAGACCTTTTTTAGCCTTGTAAATCAACATTAAATCTTCATGAATATTAAACCATCATTAGATTTGGGGAAAGACTTATGATCTGTAATGTAATAGAACAGCTTAGGCTCACTTATGTATAAAGGCCCAAAATGACTAAGCCAGGTAGGCCCTGACTTATCAGATTATTCATTATATATTTTATATTCATTCTACTTTTTGTCATGTGTAGACTAAACTGCTTTTCAGCTTATTAATAAATTCATTTTTTAAAATTACTGCTCTAGGCAAGTTAGAATGATTCAGCAACTAAATCTTAAATCCAAGAGGAAGAAATGCAGTTGATTTTTTTTTTCCTACAGCAACCAAAATATCACTAAAGAAAACCTACTTATCTGGCCAAAGAAGAAAGAATTCAGTTTTTATCAAGGAATTTAAAGAAAACATATGCTATGAAACTGACCAACTGAAAAATAATTTATCACAATCATGTAAATCGGTGCCTAAATGGTGTAATTTTTGCTGTTACTTTTCAGTGCATGAATAGCATCCCAACTCACTAAATTTTAGTAGGTTCATAATTTAAGTAATACATTTCAAACAGATGCCATCTTATAAGCATCCTTACCTTTAAAAATTTTTATCACCTATAAGCAATAGGTCACAGAGCTGTACCTCTGTTCTTCATCCTTTTTTACTAACATCTACTCACAGCATAAATAAAACATTATGCTTATGAAATTAATCACTATAATATGAACACTATTATTTTATAGACATCCTCTATAACTTTCTACAAAGCTTTTTCTTTCCTCTTTGTTTAAGATTTCACATTTTAGGAGTAGGGTGAATGATAGGGGCACTAATTAAAAGTATTAGCAAAAAAAAAAAGAGAGAGACTAATCTTTCTTACAGTATTCTGCAACGTAAGATCATAACTAATGTTAATTTAAAAAAAAAAAAAAAAAAGCTAAATCACAGACTGTAACAGTTCACACCCTAAAAATGTGGCCTATTTACCCTGAAAACATCTATAAATACAGATAATATACAAAACCACATTTAATATTCAGTTTTTACATACTGAATTTTGCCAAACTGTTTCCTTATTTTTCTCATTCTCAAATCTATCTTATGTTTCAGAAAAATAGCTTTCATCCTCTAATATTCTAAAAATAGACTCCTCCTGTCTTTTTTACAAGAAACAATTACGCTTGGTTATGAACCCTATCATATTAAACACATCATCAATACCTAAAATTCCTATTTAACCCATCTCTGGCAGTCAAAATAGTAACTAAATCAACCAAAATTTAAAAAAAAATCTTACCTATGTGCTGCATTTTCTTTCAAATGAAAAATGGTTAGATTCCCCTTCTACTTAATCAGTACAGGGTCTGGACATTTCTCAGTCTGACTTGCAAATATTTGCTTTCCCTCTTAGGGCATAGCATCCGCAGGGTTATACAGCACTACTTACATTCTCTTCCACATAAAAATCAGACATTACATGAAAGGAAAAGAAAGACAGCCCATTTCAAAGCATCTGGCAAACCTCCATTGGCAACCTGCCAAGCCTCTGCTGAACCTTCCTGTCTTTCCGAGCATGCTCACTTAAAACCAACAGCATGTTACTATGGCAACTCTGTAGGCAGCCTGTAAGTATGAACCGCCATTCTGATTTCAGAGTGTAAAAAACCAAATACTGCAGGGGAAGTAAAAAGAAAGAAACAGCACATACTCTTCAACACATACAAGTATAATCATGTTGTTTTATAAATTCACATCTGTATATGTAAAATACAAACAGACTTCCCACATTTTTCCTGACAAATATTTCATGCTTAAAACGGGCCTCTTTTCAATTCTCTTTGTTTTGCCCCTAAACTCAACATGCTGGACAATTTATCCCATTTAACAAAATACTGCTCAATAAATAGACAATATTCATGTGAGCAACAGTGAAACACACGAGATGACTTCCTGTAATTATATTTTAAATTAACATAGCAATATTAGAATGAAAATCAGGTGAACTTATAAAATACTATGTATATATTTTTTCTATGACTTATCAAGATGTCAAATGAGATTTTCTTTGGGTCTGGGTAAAATTTTGTTTTACTCCTACAAAGTGCTGAAGTTAAGAGAAAAGAGACTCAGGTTCAAAACCTATTTATCACATTTTGGGAAAATTACTTGACATTCCTTTCCCTCACTTAGCTAATATTTAAAGTGGGATAATAACAGTTACTTAAAGTTGTGCCATGGAAACATGGTGGAACACATCTATAATCCCAGCACTAGGGAGGTTTATGCAGGAGGACTAAGAGCTTAAGACAAGCCTGAGCTTACATAGTGAGACCCTGCCTTGAAAAAAAAAAAAAAAAACAGAACGAAAACTAAATAAATTTAGAAAACTAGAAGTTATTTTTCTTTCTTTCTGCATTGTTTCAAAAACCCCAAACACCAGTTTGCACTTGTTGATTAAACCTGAGAAGTACCTCCTTTTCTGTGTTGTTTTTTTTTGCCAGGACTAGAACTTGAACTCAGGGCTTGTTTACTCTGCTTGCTTACTCACAGCTGGTGCTCTAATGGCTAGCTTTTGTCTGCTTAATTAGAGATGAAGTCTCTCAGATTTTTCTTCCCCAACTGGCTTCTGGATCTTAGCTTCCTGAGTAGCTAGGATTACAGGTATAAGCCACTGATGCCCAACCTTCTTTGTAAATTTTTTATGCACTAAATACTAGTCTGGATTTATACAGTTTTTTTCAACTCCCAAGGAAGTTGAGCTAAAAGCGGACAAAAAAAAATGCTAGAAAACTTAAGTAGAGGGAAAGCATATGGAAGTATTATTTGTGCTAAAGAGCAACATAATGTTTCATATGTTACAAACATGAAATTGTACTTACCACTTCCTCTTCTTCCTTTTTGGCTTCCTTTTCCTTCTCTTCATCATTTTCTTCAGCTGGGCCATCTTCATCATCACTACTGGAAGACTCAAGGATTTCATTTATATCCATTTTCCAATTATCAGGAACAATTCTGGTTTTTAGGAAGACACTTGCTTTCTGCAGCCCTAAAAATGAAAATGTAGTTCAGCAGTTGATAAGGAATTAGAATCATAGAATGGCAGAAAAGACGTGATACTCAGAGTCAGAAGAGCTAACTTCAAATTCAGCTGTCACTTAAAAGCAATATAGTAAATGTGAACGTATTTATTATTATATAAATGTTTGTTATTACTCTCTGAAATACTGTGAGAATTTTTTTTTTAGACAAGTGTCTCACTATGTAGTCCAAAGTAGACTCAAACTGATGATTCTACTGCTGAGTGCTGGGATTACAGGCATGGACTCCCAGACCCAGTGAATATTGTTAGAAATCTTAAAAGTAAAACATAAAGTTAACCTTCTATAAAAATTATCGTCAGGACTGGTGGCTCATGCCTGTGATCCTAGCTACTCAGGAGGTTGAGATCTGAGGATTGCTGTTCAAACAAAGCCAGCCAGGGCAAGAAAGTCCGTGAGACTCTTATCTCCAATAAACCACCAGAAAACTGAAAGTGGCACTGTAGCTCTAGTGGTAGAATGCTCACCTTGAGCTGAAGGACAGAGCCCAAGCCCAGAGTTCAAGCCCCATGACCAACAAAAAAAAAATATATCAACCAAGCCGGGCCCTGGTGGCTTATACCTGTAATCCTAGCTACTCAGGAGGCTGACATCTGAGGATCAAAGTTCAAAGCCAGCCCAGGAAAGAAAGGCTATGTGACTCTTATCACCAAAAAACCAGAAGTGGTGCTGTAGCTCAAGTGGTAGTGTGCTTGCCTTGAGCGGAAGAGCTGAGGGACAGCTCCGAGGCCCAGAGTTTCAGCCCCACAACCAACAAAAAATAAATAAATAAATAAATAAATAATCAAATACTTTATCTAGGCATTTAAGATAATACCATCAAATAAGAATGGCTATCAACTATGGCTATCAACTATATACAGGAAAAATGCCATACCAGAGAGTATTCAATAATGCTGTATTGCCTATTATATACAGAGAACCATATAATGAAATAATACATTGAGTCATCTTTCTTTTACCTGGTTTGGTGGAGAGTTCAGATTCTGGCAGATTGAGAATGTCTACTTCCTTAATATCCTTTCTTGCTACAGAGTAACTAATTACAGAGAAGAGCAAAAAGAAGGAAAATCATTTTTTAAATTAAAAGAATTACATAAGCAGTCCACATTAATGTAGCCTTGAAACTCAAAATTAATATTCAAAATTACAGTATGTCAAAGTCAAAAACCATATCTCAAATTCCTAGTAAAGTTTTCAAAGTACACTAAGAGCCTCAAATTCACTCTATGTAAACCTCCTATAGACAATATATGGTCATTAATATCAACATGGTTTCAACATTGTAACAGTATTGCCTATCCAAATGTTTTATATTTATTTATTTATTTTTTTTTTTTTTTTGGGTCCGGTCATGGGGCCTGAACTCTGGGCATGGGCGCTGTCCCTCAGCTCTTCAGCTCAAGGCTAGCGCTCTACCACTTGAGCCACAGTGCCACTTCCAGCTTTTTTCTTTTTGTTTATGTGGTGCTGAGGAATCGAACCCAGGGCCTCAGGCATGCAAGGCAAGCGCTCTGCCACTGAGCCACCTTCCCAGCCTTATATTTATTTTTAACTTAATTTAGTGGAAGGCAAAGACAATATTACTGTTAAATATTAAAATAACTTTATCATAGTTTAAAATTTTCAGAGATTTACTTTCAGATATATGCATTTAATTTCACTTTTCCTTTTCATTCTTTTTTTTTTTTTTTTTTTGAACTCAGGGCCAGGGCACTGTTGTGTAGCTATTTTGCTCAAGGCTGGAACTCTACCACTTCAGCCACAGCTCTACTTCTGGCTTTTTGCCGGTTATCTGGAGGTAAGTTTCATGAGATTTTCTGCCCAGGCTAGCTTCAAACTGCAATCCTCAGATCTCAGCCTCTTGAATAAGTAGTTTTACAGGCATGAGCCACCAGCACCCAGCTTCACCAGAAGTTTTTAAAATAACAAAACAGATGGAGCTAGGGAAAAGTTTCTAAAAATCTGAGTTTTACTAAAAAGTAAAAGTGATTATTCAAGAAACATAAATTCTATTAAAAGTAAGTTTCATAGTTCACAATATAAAAATCTCACACATAAGAAAAACAAGTGTTATTCATGTTCTCAGTTTTTATATAAAGCTTTTCAGCGAAACATATCCTCTACATGATATAAAGTTAAACCATGTTAGATAACTACTCAACTTATGTCACATATGACACTTTTTTAAAATAATATTTTGGTAGAAGGATCGAAATCACCATGATTCCGTTTCTATTTTTCCTCCCATGAATCATTACTGAGTGTTTCATTACTTACAATTTAGCATCAATAAATGATCGAACTAAACATTGATCCTTTTTCACTGTGACATCATCATTACAGCTAGGAGATATTACCTGAAATAAAAATGAAAAAGCAAGTGATTCTTACTTTTCGTGCTCAGAAAAAGAGAATATTTTTTAATACAATGATTCTAGATCCCTGGACCACTAACATGGATTAGAAATAGCTCAACCAAAGCTGGGTACTAGTGGCTCACAGCTACTCAGGAGGCAGAGATCTGAAGATCATACTTCAAAACCAGCTTGGGCAGTAAAGTCCCCATGAGACTCTAACTACTCAAAAACTAGTAGTGGAGCTGTGGCTCAAAGTAGTACTGTACTAGCCTTCAGCAAGAGTCCAAAGACAGTGCCTACCTAGGTCCTGAGTTCAAGCCCCATGACCAAAACAAAACAAAAGCAAATAAAACAAACCAGCTCTACCATAAGGAACGCCTATTATTAATGAATTACTTACAAAAGATCTCCCTATATTTTTGTCTATCATATTGGTTTTCTAGTTAAATTATCCAGTCAATAGAAGACAAAAAAGATTAGTGAAATATAAACTAAAATCACTAAAACTTTAAAAGTATCAGGGTTTATTCTAAGCTAAAAAATTCATTTCTGCCCAAAATATAAATTTGGGAATGTATAATCTATCATGAAAACTTTGTGTATTACCATTTAAAAATATGGTTAAATCAGCATCTATTTTTAAATCTGGTTATAAAAAAATACATAAGAGCCAGGCACCAGTGGCTCACACCTGTAATCCTAGCTACTCAGGAGGCTAAGATCTGGGATTGCAGTTCAAAGCCAGCTCAGGCAGAGAAGGCCCCATGAAACTCTTCTCTTCTATTAACCTCTCAAAAACAGGAAGTGGAGCTATGGCTCCTGTGGTAGAGATCTCACCTTGAGCTGAAGAGCTCAAGGACAGTGCCCCGGCCCAGAGTTCAAGCCCCATTAACGGACAAAATAAATAAAAATAAATAAATAAAAAAATACACAGGCCCTAGAGTGTAAGATAGAATACTTAGCAAGTTCAAGGATGAGCTTTAAGCTCTGTACCATCAAAACACGTCATCTAGGCCTGATGGCTCATGCCTGTAATTCTAGCTACTCAGGAGGCTGAGATCTGAAGATCAAGGTTCAAAGCCAGCTTGGGCAGGAAAGTCCGCAAAACTATTATCTCCAATAAGCCACCAGAAAACCGGAAGTGGCGCTGTGGCTCAAGTGGTAGAGTGTTCACTTTGAGCTGAAGAGCTGAGGGACAGCATCCAAACCCAGAGTTCAAGCCCCACAACCACCACCAACAAAGTCATGTAAATTCCCTTTCCTACTAAGGCAGGCATGTTTTTTAACAATAAAAAAAAATCTCAAACCAGATATTGGTGGCTCATGTCAGTAATCCTAAACTATTTAATTTAGGAGGCTGAGATCCAATGATCGTGGGTTCAATGCCAGCTCAGGCAGAGAAGGCACCATGAAACTCTTACCTTCAATTAACCTCTCAAAAGCAGGAAGTGGAGCTGTGGCTAAAATTGGTAGAGCTCTAGCTTTGAGCAAAAGAGCTCAGAGACAGCACCCAGGCCCCGAGTTTAAGCCCCATGACCAAAAAATAAAATAAAAATTAAAAAATCTCAACAACAACAACAACAAAAATCTCTAATTTTTTAACTTTTGAAAGTAACATGTCTTAATAGTACTATTAGTAAAATTAAGCCAGGTCGGTGATGCCTATCAGTAGCCTCAGGCAGGATGATAAGCCCAGGAATCTGAAGTGCCAACCTGGGCAACATAGCAAGCCTCTACCCTCTCCTCAAAATGAATGAAAAAATAAACCAAATATACCTGTTCACAATCTCCTCTAATATTAAGCTCTATGCTGAAAGTTAGCACTATCCACAGATCTTTAGATATGGAAATTTATAGAAATATGAGTTTTGCACTGTTCAGTGTAGTAGAGGAAGAGCCACATGGCACTCAGAACCTGAATTTGCACATTCTGGGGGTGTAGTATGTTCTTATATGGGACAGGATGGAAGGAAGGAGCTTGCATATACTAAGTAAGTACTCTTTTATCACTCAGCTACACTCCAGACCCAATTATGTTTAAACTCAGTCACAAACAGGTAATGGCAATCATACTAAACAGTCAATATCCAGAGTATCAAATATTCTTAGTAGAGCTGGGTGCTTGTGGCTCACACCTGTAATCATGGTGGCTCAGGAGGCTGAGATCTGAAAATCACAGTTCAAGCCACCCCAGGCAAGAAAGCCCATGAGGCTCTTATCTCTAACTACCAAAACTCTAGAAGTGGGGCTGTGGCTCACATGGCAGAGGACCATACTTTAGCAAAAAAGCTAAAGGACAGTACCCAAGTCTTGAGTTCAAGCCCCAGTACCAGTGCAAACAAACAAGCAAAAAGTCTTAGTCACACACATCTTAACATCAGGTGAGGATAAACTTTTTCTATTTGTTTGTTAGGTGCTTGTTGTAATACAGTTGTGCCTACCCTCAAGGGCTAACACTATAACAGAAGGAAAAGCATAGATGGAAATAAAACACACACACACACACACACACACACAAATGTCATTTATTGGGAAATGGATGAACCTTGAAAATAATTTATTATTAAGTGAAGTAAAGCAGGCTCAGAGAGACTACATTTTTTCTCTCATATGAGGAAGTTAGATCTGAAATACAAACATACATGATAACACATACAGAGTTACATGCACATGATACACAGAAATTGACTAAAGAATGGTATACTTAGAGGAAGAGTCATATGTTGTAAATCCTCTTTAATATTATACTTTTAGATATATATAAGCAAATTCTGGCAGTACTGGGTTGGAACTCAGGGCTTTGCTCTTGCCAAACAATCACTTCATTATTTGATCCACACCTCCAGCCCTTTTTGCTCTGGCTGTTTTTGAGATAAGGGTCTTGCTTTGTGCCTTGCATGCCTGGACTATAATCCTATTTATGCTTCACATCATCACTGGAATGGTGGCCGCATGTCAGTACACTCAGCTTTTTCCTTTTTTTTCTTTTTTTTTTTTGTTTTTGGTCATGGAGTTTGAACTTAGGATAGCCTAGGCACTATCCCTGAGCTCTTTTTGCTCAAGTCTAGTGCTCTACGACTTTGAGGCACCGTGACACTGCCAGTTTCCTAGTGGTTGATTGGAGATAAGAGTCTCATGGTCTTTTCTGTCCAAGCTGGCTTTGAACCACAATCCTCAGATCTCAGCTTCTTGAATAGCTAGGATTACAGCCACCAGTGCCCGAATAGCTTTTTAAGTTGAAGTCTCCTAAACTTTTGCCCAGGCTGGCTTCAACCCACAATCTTCTTCATTTTATGCTTCCTAGGATTATAGATATGAGCCATTACACCTGGCTAAAAAAAAACTTCTTGAAGGCAATGTACTGAAATCTTATAATTCTCTAAGGAACTTACAGTTTGCTTTTTGGGGGAGGTTGCTTCTTTATTTTGGTATTGGGGATCAGGTCAGACCCAGGGCTTTGTATAAACTAGGCAAGTACTATACCACTGAACTAACTACTTTTTTTTTTTTTGTCGGTCGTGGGGCCTGAACTCTGGGCCTGGGTGCTGTCCCTCAGCTCTTCAGCTCAAGGCTAGCACTCTTCCACTTGAGCCACAGCGCCACTTCCAGCTTTTTTCTTTTTGCTTATGTGGTGCTGAGGAATCAAACCCATGCATGGAAGGCAAGCGCTCTACCATTGAGCCACCTTCCCAGCCCCTAAAGACTTTTATAAAAACAAAATAACTTGCAGAGATTATAGTGAAAATAAGAAATAAGAGCTACGGATGGTCCAAAGATCCATTTACAGACTGAAAATCAGTTGCTAAGGTAGATTCAATAAAGGTTTATTTACTTTTTTTTCGGACAGTGTCTGTGTTACCCAGGCTAGTCTTAAACTCAAACTTGCCCCAGCCTCCCCAGTAGTTGGGCTACAGGCATGACCACTATGACCAATTGAAGGTTTATTTTTGAAGGTTTAATTTTGTCATGACAAAATTAATAATTTTTTTTTAAAGATTTCTCTCATGGCTTGGAATGGGGCTTAGTGGCTAAGTGCCTGCTTAGCATTCATGAAGCCCAGGGTTTGATTCCTCAGTACCACATAAACAGAAAAAGCTGGAAGTGGTGCTGTGGCTCAAGTGGTACAGTGCTAGCCTTGAGCAAAAGAAGCTCAGGGACAGTGCCCAGGCCCAGAGTTTAAGCCCTAGGACTATAAAAAGAAAAAGAAAAAAAAAAAAATCTCAAATTGGAGGAAAGTCATATGTTGTAACTCCTGTTTAATTATTATACTTTTAGATGTATATAGCAAATTTTGGGTTGGAACTCAGGGCTTTGCCCTTGCCAAACAACCACTTTACTATTTGATCCACACCTACTATTGACTTATACCTATAATCCTAGCTACTTAGGAGGCTGAAATCTGAAGATCCATGTTGTAGCCAGTCCAGGCAGGAAAGTCTATGAAACCCTTATCTGCAAAAAGCCAGAAGTGGACATGTAATTCAATGGGTAGACAACCAGCCTTGAGCAGTAAGTTAAGGAATAGCTTTCTGGGCCCTGAATTCAAGCCCAAGTACTAGTACTGAATGCAGGAATAGATTCATCTTTAAGGCTGGGCACTACTGGTTCATGCCTATATTCTACTACTCAGGTTGCTGAGATCTGAAGATCAAGGTTTGAAGCCAACTCAGGAAGACAAAAATCTTGGAATGCTTATCTCCAATGAACTAGCAGAAAGTGGAGCTGTGGTTAAGTGACAGATAGAAGCCAGCTGCAAATGGAAAAAGCAAGTGCAAGCATGAGGTTAAGTCCTGTGTTTAAGTTCCAGTACCAACACACGCAAACTCACAAATACAAACACATATGCACAGAGATTTTTTTAAGTTCTGGAAGATACATTTATATTTCAGAAAGAATCCAGGGTCAAGCAAAGGGAAGCTAAAGGTGTAAAATGACAATAGGATACAGGGCAAGAGTCCACTAGACAGATTTTGAAGGACCTGGAAGATCACTAGACAGATTTTGAAGGACCTGGAAGATCACAACAAGAGATTATAAAATGAACAGAAGGAAATGAAAGAAATCTAAATTTTTGTAACTGACTGCTCAACTTTTAAACTGCAGTGAGGTTTGAATATAAGTTGTAAAATACTTCCAAAACATTTTAAATGATTATACAGATATTTGATTGGGTCCCTAACTGTCCAAAAAACTTTACTTACCAAAGCAGGATGCCACTCAGGCCTCTCAGTCGTAGATACCACACTTACAACTTTTCCTAATAATTCATCATTAAGACGGCGCTTATCTACATCTTCGTCTTCACTACTCTCCTCTTCCTTTTCATCTTCAGTACTGTAAGTTAGAATAATTAGGTCATCATGCCAATATACACAATATTTGACACAACCAGAGTACTGTGACTTCAAAATGTTGAATTCAGCTCCTAGTATTTTATCCTCTATTCTTCTTTTTCTTTGGGGGGAGGGGAGGGGTGTTAGTCATGGGCCTTGAACTCAGGGCCTAGGCACTGTTCCTGAGCTTTTCTGCACAAGGCTAGTGCTCTGCCACTTGGAACCACAACTCCACTTCAAGTTTTCTGGAAACTAGCAAAAATATCTTGCAGTTTTGTGAAAATTGGTACTCATATATGTAAGTTCAAAGAGGTTCATGAAGTGATTTTCCCAAAATGTAAGTAAGTGACTGAACTAAGATTTCCATTTGGGTCCTTAGAAGTTTTGGGTTTTTGGTTTTTTTTTTAATTATTTTCCATTTTGCAACTTATATATTGACTTTACATTTTTAAATCTTCATTATACATACCCCAGCAGTAAAAGAACATCTAATACCTAGATCTTAATTTCTTCCTTTTTTTTTTTGGGGGGGGGGCAGTCCGGTTGTGGGGCCTGAACTCTGGGCCTGGACGCTGTCCCTCAGCTATTCAGCTCAAGGATAGCGCTCTAACACTTGAGCCACAGCGCCACTTCCGGCTTTTTTCTTTTTGCTTATGTGGTGCTGAGGAATCGAACCCAGGGCCTCATGCATGCAAGGCAGGCACTCTACCACTGAGCCACCTTCCCAGCCCCTAGATCTTAATTTCTGAATACTACTTTCTACTAAAAGGAACAAGGATCCCCTGAAGAAATGGCCAGTTACAAGGCTTGGGGAAGAAAAGAAAGTAACATGAACCTAGGATTCCTTGTTGTGTCAGAAAGCAACCAAGTGCTAAACAAATAGTGAGAATGTATCAAAAGAGCACTGATGTAGCCTGGAGAGGCTTATGCTGGCCAAATAAAATCTGGGGCAGTGTGCATCTCAAACGGAATATTGTTTTTTTGGCAGTAATGGTGTTTAAACTCAGGATGTTGTACTTGCTGGGCAGGTGCTCTCCTGCATGAGCAAGCCTCAAGTCTAAAATAAATTATAGCTCATTAAGTGAAACTAGAATCTACGACTCCATAGTGATAAGAAAAAGGTTTTCATTATAGCTAGATGTTAGTTAAATTTACCTAAGCAATGTAGCAGGAATGAAAAATTAGAAAATCACCATTTTGCTGTCTTAGTATCAGTAACTGATTTAGACAAGTATTATCAGTGGGGGCTAGGAATGTGGCTCACTAGTAGAGTGCTTGCCTAGAATGCATGAAGTCCTGGGTTTGATTCCTCAGTACCACATAAACAGAAAAAAACAGAAGTGCTGCTGTGACTCAAGTGGTAGAGTGCTAGCCTTGAACAAAAAAAGCTCAGGGGCAGTACCCAGGCCCTGAGTTCAAGCTCCTTGATTGGCCAAAAAAGTTAAATTAAAAAATATATATATATATATATATATATCAGCAAATTATAAAAATCATTGAATAAAAACTGACAACAGATTATTTAAGTAGACTCAAAAGTAACCTATGATGCCAGACATTTTGTAGCTTACAACTATAATCCTAGCTACTCGGAAGGCTGAGACTTGAGGATCACTGTTCAAAGCTAGCCCAGTCAGGAAAGTGTGTTGACATTCTTATCTCCAATTAACCACCAAAAAATTAGAAGCAGAACTGTGGCTTAAGTGGTAGAGGACTAGCCTTGAGAAAAAGCTCAGGGACAGTGCCCAGGTCCTGAGCTCAAGCCCCAAGACCAGCATACAAAAATAACCTATGATAATTTTAGCAGACAACACCTTAGCCAGGTGATCAAAGTTAGCATTGTCAATATGGGACACACTGATAATATGTACTTATTAGTGTGCTGACACTAACAGACACAAATACAGTGTTGCTGTCAAAGATGTATAACCCAATTCAATAAATGAACAAACAGACAAACCTATCTTGAGGAACAGTCTACAAAACTACTTGCCTATACTTTTTTTTTTCTTTTTTTGCCAGTCATTGGGCTTGAACTCTGGGCCTGGGTGCTGTCCCTCAGCTCTTCAGCTCAAGGCTAGCACTCTACCACTTCAGACAGCACCACTTCCGGTTTTCTGTGTGGTTTAATGGAGGTAAGAGTCTCACGGACTTTTCCTGCCTGGGCTGGCTTTGAACCGCAATCCTCATGTCTTAGCCTCCTGAGTAGCTAGGATTACAGGCGTGAGCCACCAGTGCCCAGCTCACCAATACTCTTAAATGTCAATATTATGAAGAACAAAAATGTCTAAAGATATTTTTTCAGATTAAAAGAGATTTATGAAGCAAAAATGAAATACGGGATATGATTCTGGACTGGAACATGAATTGGGGTGATTACTGAGAAAATTAGCAAAATTTAAAATATTAACTATATATATTGTTAGGTAATAGTATCCTATCAAAGTTAAACTTTTTGAGTCAGAGCATGATGGTACAGGACTATAATTCCAGCACTCTGGAGGTTGGGGCAAATGGATTACAAATACAAGGCTAGCCTTGGCTATAGAGTAAAACCTTGTCTCAATACATACCCCACCCTATTGAAAATTAAAAATTTCCCATTTTACCATTCATAGTTTGATTATTCAAGGGCAAAGGGTCTAATAGTTGCCACGTACAAAATGTAATTATATGTGTATAAATAGAAAGGGACACAAAGGAAGAGTATCCAAAAAAAAAGACAATTTAGCAAATATAGATTAAGAGTATATGTAGCTATTTGTATTATTCTTGGAATTTGTAAGTTTGAAATGGTTGTGAAATAATAAAGGTAAAAAAGCACAAATACTTGCTGGCATGGCAGCAGTCCCAACTACCTGGGAGGTCAAGACGGGAGGAGCAAGGTTGCAAGGTAAGCAGTGGTAAAATTTTACTGAAACTCTATCTCAAAAACAAACCAGGCACTGGGCTCCAGTGGCTCACACCTGTAATCCAAGCTACTCAGGAAATCTGAGGATTACAGTTTGAAGTCAGCCTGGGCAGGAAAGTCTGTGAGATTCTATCTCCAATAAACTACTCAGAAAGTGGTGCTGTGGCCCAAGTGGTAGAGCACTTGCCTTGAGCACAAAGAGGCTTGGGGACAGTGCACAGGCCCTGAGTTCAAGCCCCAGGACTGGCAAAAACAGCAAAACAAAATAAAACAAAAATAGCCAAAGCTTCTAATGAGGTCAAAGTCAGCCCAAGGCAGGAGCCTCTTATTTCTATTTAACCACCAAAAACCCAGAAGTAAAGCGGTGACTCAAGTGGCAAAGACTAATTTTGAGTATAAAAGCCCAAGTACAGGGCTGGGAAGGTGGCTCAGTGGTAGAGTGCTTGCCTTGCATGCCTGAGGCCCTGGGTTCAATTCCTCAGCACCACAGAAGCAAAAAGAAAAAAGCCAGAAGTGGCACTGTGGCTCAAGTGGTAGAGCACTAGCCTTGAGCTGAAGAGCTGAGGGACAGTGCCCAGGCCCAGAGTTCAGGCCCCACGACCAGATCCAAAAAAAAAAAAGAGTCTCACAGAGACTTTTAAAAAAATAAATAAATAAATAAAAGCCCAAGTACAGTGCCCAGGCCCTGAGTTCAAGCCCCAGTACCAACTTACAAAAAAAAAAAAACAAGGATAGTGATTCATGCCTGTAAGTCATTCTATTTGGGAAGCATAGGTAGGAAGAAGATCACAGTCCAAGGGTTATTAACCTAATCAAAAAACTGAGTCCTGCTAAAAAAAATAACTAAAAGTAAAAAGGATTAGGAGCATGACTTAAATCATGGATATATGATAAATATACTTCTGTACAGTAAATAAACTGTAAATAAATGATAAGCATAGAGCCCTGAGTTCAAACCCCAATAAAATCATCAGACCAATTAAGGACTTTGGCAAAGTAACAATACAAAAGTTGCCTTTTGGAAAATGGACTTGTCATAATTCTTTTTTTTAATTTTTATTTATTTTTCATAATTCTTGATAATAATAATAATAAGGATGAAACTGCTCAGGGTAAGACGCTTAACAGAAGGAAACAAGATACTATGAGTAAGTTACCCAATCAAATTAAGTGATTCTGGGGAAAACTACCTGCTCAGTGTCATGCTAGCTGTAATTATGATATAGGAAAAACTCACACAGGAAGTGAAGACCTCCTTCCTCTGTTTGTCTTCTTCGCAATAACTGGAGTTCCAAAATGCTCTGGATTTGTTAATGGAAGCTGGTCTAGTGTCTGGATAAGAAACGGATAAATTGAGTTACTTTTTAGAAACCACTAGTAGTAGTTCTTCAACCCCAGAGGTTCATCACTGCTGCCCTACCTCACTCTCGGCAAAATGTCTCTCCCCTTTCAGGCAAAGTGAGGTGCGTCTCAATGTCCTCTCATCACCATCATCAAATACTATGGTAAGCAAAAGACAACAGAGAAGTTAGGCACAGTGATTAAATCAAATTTAACAGTACAGAATCCTATTATTGCTGCTTATTTAGAACTTAATGTTTATAAGAATCATTGTTTAGCCATTTTACAAAAATCTTTTAAAATGAACATACATTTTTCACTTGTTAGGTATCACACAGACACAGCCACCAACTTCCTCAGTAACTTCACTGGCTTTTTCAAGTTCGATCACTCCACTATGATCATCTCTTTTTCTTGTGGGGGGTCCGGTTGTGGGGCCTGAACTCTGGGCCTGGGTGCTGTCCCTCAGCTCTTCAGCTCAAGGCTAGCGCTCTACCACTTGAGCCACAGCGCCACTTCCAGCTTTTTTCTTTTTGCTTATGTGGTGCTGAGGAATCGAACCCAGGGCCTCAGGCATGCAAGGCAAGCGCTCTACCACTGAGCCACCTTCCCAGCCCATGATCATCTCTTATTCTTTATTTCTTTGCGATGTTGGGGATTGAACCTAAGGCTTTGCACATACTAGATAATTGCTCCATACTTCATCTGCCTCTAGCTCTTTTTATCAGTATTGTTTTATTATCACTACATTTGCCCTGACTGGCCTCAAAGCAGAAGTGCTTCTGCCTCCTGACTGGCTAACATTACAGGCTTGGGGCGCCACACCCAGTTCAGAATCATCTTCTAGGCCCATTAGCAACCTAACCAAAGCACAGATATTAAATTACCTTCTATCTTTGAAGAAAAGACAAGACCTGAATTTATTTTTATTTATTCATTTTTCTGTCTTTTTATTTTTTTGGGGGGGCAGTAACAAGGCTTGAACTCAGGTCCTCATTGCATACTAGGCTGGCATTGTACAACTTGAGCTGTTGCTCCAGCCCTGCTTCTGCTGATTATTTTGGAGACAGAGTTTAGCAAACTATTCTGCCCTTGCTAGCCTTGAACCTTGATGCTCTAGCAATAAAACCATTTTTTGATGGGAAAAAAATACATACTTTATTACGAGTAGAAGTTATAATCAAAACCAAAAGGATTTCTTAAAAGGAGATTATAGTATAAACAACTGTCTTCTAGTTATACATAGGAACTCTCCCAACTGAAAGTAAATAGAATCAGTTTAAGAAAAGAAATTTTAATTCACAAAACTATTCATATGTGTATGTCTACACACATACACATATTTGAGTATTTGATACATTTTTTAAGTAATTTTTAAGGATTTTTCTGACCTGGAAGACTCAACACCATAATGGACCTATTAATCCTGATATTTTTAATAACCAAAATCTCGAGAAGCTCCTTTCGTGTTAAAAGCATTCAAAAGACCAAAACTTTGTAGGCATTGAAGAATGAATCTAGTATTTTAATAAGACTATAATGATTTACCTGTTGTGTATAGTAAATTTAGCTTTTCTGAATTTCAACTTACCATATAGCATGCCAAGAGAAAATAAATCACGCTAGAAAAACTTAATAATTCCAGGAAACATTTGATACTTGCCAAATGGCATTTGTATAGATAATTCACCAAGTGCCATATATATGAAGTATTGTCTAAATACAAATGTTAAATATTAAAGCTTATTTCAGAAAAAAGATATAGCCTCAACTCTAAAAGTAACACTAATCATACTAAACAGACAAAGGACTATAAATAAGGATGCAAATGTTAACCTTAATCTGTTAGAATTCAAAGAAACAAAACTGAAGAATCTAACCTTCTGTACTAAGTACAAAAGACGTCTATCTGTTATATTAATACTGACACCATAGGACAGTAATTTTTTTTTTTTTTTTCCGGTCATGGGGCCTGAACTCTGGGCCTGGGCGCTGTCCCTCAGCTCTTCAGCTCAAGGCTAGCACTCTACCATTAGAGCCACAGCACCACTTCCGGCTTTTTTCTTTTTGCTTATGTGGTGCTGAGGAATTGAACCCAGGGCCTCTGGCATGCAAGGCAAGCGCTCTACCACTGAGCCACCTTCCCAGCCCCCATAGGACAGTAATTGACCTAACCTATCCACAACACAATTGCTATCATTTATTAGCTTTCTACCATGTCCTAATATAAAACCAGCTTCTCTGCAAGGTAGGAATGGCTAGCTTCCTTTCATTGATCAATTTTGAACCAGAAAGGTGACCAATGACTACATCTTGATTAAGAGAGGAGTGGCAGGGCACCAGTGCTCACACATGTAGTCCTAGCTACTCAGCAAGCTATGATCTGAGGATCATGGTTCAAAGTAAGCCTAGACACAGGAATCTCAGACTTATCTCCTAACAAAAAGCCAGAACTACAAGTGTGAATCAAGTGATAAAACATCACCTATGAATGAAAAAGTGGAGCAAGAACCCCTGAATTCTAGTCCCAGAACTAGCACAAAAACAAAGAGGATCAAAAGGAATAGTGAATAGTTGTGAAGAATTAAGTGTAAAAATAAATGAACTTACACAAACTTAGGTATACTTAGAAAACATGAAATAGTGCCAGGTGCTGGTGGCTCACACCTGTAATCCTAGCTACTCAGGAGGCTGAGATCTGAGGATCATGGTTCAAAGCCAGACCAGGCAAGAAAGTCCGTGAGACTCTTATCTCTAATAAACCACTAGGAAATTGGAAGTGGTGCTGTGGATCAAGCAGTAGAGTGCTCACCTTAAACTGAAGAGCTGAGGGAGAGTGACCAGGCCTGGAGTTCAAGCCCCATGACCGACCAAAGAAAGAAAGAAAGGAAGGAAGGAAGGAAGGAAGGAAGGAAGGAAGGAAGGAAGGAAGGAAGGAAGGAAACATGAAATAGCTTATTGCTGCTCCTAGGCTACAAACAAGGAGCAGAAAGCCAAAAATTCTGACTTCAGGAAATACTGTTACTGTTATATGTGTACACAGTACAATGACTAGTACATTAACGAAGCAAAAACTTTAAAATTAAAAGTACATGTGATGTGTATATGAACAGTTTAAGGGTACACACTATAATTTCAGCACTCAAGAGATGAAGCAAGAAGTTCAAGAGTTCAGAATGACAGTAAAATAATGATAGTCTCAAAAAACTGTATATATACACATATATATGTATATACATATACACACTTATATACTCTGGATTAAAAACCAATAAGCTTCTTTTAAAAATAATTATTTTTAAGGGACCTGCACACTGTTCCATAATGACTCTACTAATTTAAATTTTCACCAGCAATGAATATGGTTTCCTTTTCCCACATCCTCAACAGCCATTCTAACAAGTGTTAAGTGATACTTCACTGTGCTTTTTATTAACATACCATGATGATTCGTAGGTTGAGCATTTTAAAATATATACTCATACATCAATGAACAATGGGAGTATGTGCCCAGAAATGTGTGGGTAGGTGATTTCATCACTGGGAGACAGCAGTGAACTAATACAAACTCAGTTTGTAAAGCATATTACTGTGCTAAATGTTAGAGCAACACTAACATAACTGTGAGCATTTGTGTCTTTACAAACAGAGTATAAAAGCTTTTGTAAAAGAACACTTGTATCTGGGCCCTGGTGGCTCACACCTGTAACCCTAGCTCAGGAGGCTATCTGAGGATCATGGTTCAAAGCCAGTCTAGGCAGGAAAGGCCATGAGACTCGTATCTCCAATTAACCCCCCAGAAAACCAGAAGTGGAGCTGTGGCTCAAGGTAGTAGAGCACTAACCCTCAGCAAAAAGAGCTCAGGGACAGTGCCCAGGCCCCTAGTTCAAGCCCCACAATCGACAACAAAAAAGGAAAGAAAAGAACATTTGTATGGGGCACTTAAACTTCTTGTGAGATCTGCTAGCCTGCAGGACTGGCAGTTGCCCTGGGTGAATGAGTGAGTGATAGATAACTCAAAGGAAAGGCCAAGGATGTCAAGTGCACTACTGTATACTTTATATATACTGTACCTATGATAGACAAAATTTACCTGTTTTTCAGTAATAATATTAGTTTATAACATTATAGTTAATTCTTATTAATTTTTTATTTGTACGCCTGTTTGTATTAGCCTTTTGTTTATTTGGTATGATTAGTTTTGCTTTCACAATTTCAGCTTTGTCTTTTTCTTAAATATGTTTTAATACTTAATATTTGTATCTAGTGCAGTAACAGATACTACTTTGGGATATATATACGTACATATATTTGTGGCACTCAGTGAATTGTCTATACAAAATCCCATTTTGGCTCAAAGAACACTTGCCTAGCAAATGCAAGTTCCAGCCTAGTACTGACAATCAAAACACTGGGAAAACTGTTAATCCTTGTTCTGTGAGGTTTGTTTTTTGTTCACTTTCGTGTGTGTGTGTGTGTGTGTGCGCGCGCGCACGCGTGTTGGTACTGAGGCTTGAATTCAGGGCTTTATGCTGTCCCATAGCTTTTTTACTCAATGCTGCCACTTTACCACTTGAACCATGTCACCACTTTCCTACCGCAGATGGCTATGAACTATTACCTTTAAAACTCAGCATCTCAAGTTGCTAGCATTATAGGCATAGGCTACCAGCACCTGCTGTTACTTGCTTTTTGGGACAGAGTCTACGTATCTTGGGCTGGCCTTACACTCATGATCCTTTTAACTCAGCCTCCTGAATGCTAGGATTACAGGAATACACTGCCATACTTGTTGCATTTCACTTTTGGAATTTTTCTTTCCTCAAGATTTTAAACTTCTTGAAAAACTAAGATGTAAACACACACAATGTTAGGCCAACAGAGGGTCACTCTCACTGAAACTATTCCACCTGCACATGTCCCACTGGGCAGGAACACATGGAGAGGCCATCTCTTGTGACAATGCTTCTGGAACATCTCTTCAAGGAGTTGTCTGAGGTTGATTTATGGTTAACAGGTTTTTTGTTAGTAGTAGAACACTCTAATATAATAATAAAAAACTAGCCTAGTCACATGCTGTCCTCATCAAATGTTATGTATTATCCATAATAGTATGTACTTCATTTCTGTATGACTGGCAGTGCAATAGGTTTGTTTACAGTTGCATCACCATACGCATATGAGTAATGTGTTACAATGGCTACAAAGTCATTAGGCACAGGAACTGTTCAGATCCATTACAATCTATGAATATATCATCATATGTACACTAAGTCATTGTCCACATTATGGCATTATGAAGAACATCACTGTTTCTAGGCCATTGTAGGTGTTCCTTTGAGAAATGACTATTTTAGGTCCTGGTTAAGTTTTCTATTTCAATAACTAACATTTTAAAATATTTTTTCAATTTTCCCAAAATGTGTCTCTCTTTCTCAGTGTTTGGGTCTGTTTTCTAAGTGTGTACTATTTGTATCAGAATCATCTAATATGCTTATTAAATGGAAGCTTCTTGAATTGCCCTTCTCAGCCCTGCTCAATACATTTTGAGTGCTCAAATCTTCTTTGGGGACTGGGGTTCGAATTCATGGCCTCACACTCATCCAGTTTGCTTGCTTGGCTTGCTCTATCCCTTGAGCCATGCCTCCAATCTGGAATTCTGCTAGTTATTTCAGATATGGAATCCCAGAAACTTTTCTGTCCAAGCTAACCTTGAACCTAACTGCTCTGGGTCTCAGCCTTGTGTTTTATAACGAGTCAACAGTGTCCAGCAAATCCCTTTTTGTAAAAAAACGAAAAGCTAACTGCAATAAATTTTTATGTACACTAATGCTTGAAACTTCAATTATATGTAACTCAGATTCCAAGTAATTTGAGAACAAGAATTACACAATTTCTTCCATAATTATCCAATATGGAAAATCTTACAGTAAATGCTAAGTAGTAACTAGCTTGTTGCAATGCTAAAATGCCGCTCATACAGAGGACAGAGATTCATAACCGAAATGATTATTGTGGGCTGCAGAAACTCAGGATACGGAGAGGAAAGGAACTGTTTCTGGAGCCATAAGCACGCTTGGCAATGAGTACCACATACAACACAACATCAGAATCTGATCAGATTATAGATCACAGTTTCACATGATTCTACACACACATCAACTCCTGTAATTTTTACCAGTGCCTTGCTTCATATAACAGATTGTATTGACAATCTTTCAGAGTTACTATTAACTTCAGTTTTTAAATCATTAACAACTATCAATAGTGCCAAATAAGCTTACTAAAAATACATAGTTTAGCAGAATGGTATCATTATAAACAAAGAATATATAGGAAGCCCAAGGAGACTTTTTAGGTAGGAAAAAATAGTCTCATACAACAACAAATTGCTAATACTAAAAGAAGACATGGGAACTGCATTTTTTTTTTTTTTTTTTTTGCCAGTCCTGGGGCTTGAACTCAGGGCCTGGGTACTGTCCCTGTACTGATTTTGCTCAAGGCTAGCACTCTATCAGTTGAGCTACAGTGCCACTTCCAGCTTTTTCTATTTATGTGGTACTAAGGAATTGAACTCATGCATACTAGGCAAGCACCCTACCACTGAGCCACATTCCAGCCCCAGGAACTGAAATTTTTAACCAATTTTTAACCTACAGTGAATGACTTTTACTCAAAGAAACAAATCAAGTAAAAGTAAAACTAACAGGTCATTTCTTTTCCTTTCATAAGGAAACCACATATTATAATCAAACTACTTACATTAAGATATAAATGTGTTATATAGGTCTCTACTGTGAACCAGTCTTACACATAATCTGCAGAACTATAAAACTAAAAAACTACTGAGACTTGGAAATGTTACTATTGCTATTCTCTTGAGCCTAATGATAGCAAATCTTGTACTACTACTCAGGTTTAAATAGATATTCACCAAAAAAAAAAAGAGTACAGTTAAAAGAAAAAAAAAAATCAAACAAGGCCTTACTTTTCAAGTGCAAAAAAAGACAAAAACAAAACAAAATAAAAAAAATAAACAAAAAAAGTTATTAAAAAAATGGACCTTAACTCTAATGCATGGGTCTCACTGAAGCTTATTAAAGTTAGCATCAGTTTACACAGACTGTTAAGAATGCATTCACACTAGCAGATTATTAAATCTGTTATAATAAGAGAATACCTGTGACAATAATTAAGAATTAGGTTACGGCACCTGGGCTTGAATCTACTCTGAACATATTTTCAGTCTGTAAATTATATAGTAACATCTACACTATCTTTATATAAAACAAGTAATAGTAGCTCCCATGTCATCTTAATTGCAATGACTGTAGAAGTGAAAAGGTCTGATTATTCACAATATTGTTCTCTCAGTTTGAGGAATAAAATTAATCATGTATCTAACTTTCTTGAAGAGAAATGTCAAAGTAACCTAAGGCAGAACTACATTCTTGGGTGAAACAGATACAAATAGCCACATTACTATAAAGAGTAACTATTTTTGTTACCAGATCATCATTAAAATTTTAGCTAGTTATAGGCAGGAAATTGACAGGAAATAGTACATGGTTCTCTGTCAACACAATATTTCAGTGTACCTACAAAACAAAGATACATCTAATCCCAAAGTAAATGTATGTATTAAATTACTTAACTAGCCTGGGAATGGTGTTTCACACCTGTAATCAATCCTAGCTACTCAGGAGGCAGAGATCTGAGGATTGAGGTTCAAAGTCAGCCTAGGCAGAAGAATTCTTGAGACTCTTATCTCAAATTAATCACCAGAAAACTGTAAGTGGCTCAAAGTGGTAGTGCCCTAGCCATGAGTGAAAAAGCTCAAGGACAGCACACAGGCTCTGAGTTCAAGCCCCAAGACTGGCAAAAAAAAAAAAAAAAAAGTTCTGGGAGCATGGCTAAGAACATCTGTCTAGTTAGGGCCTGAATTCACACCATAGTCCTACCCTCCCCAAGAAGAAAACACAGCATAGTGGCTGCATAATGTAACATAAGATAACTTTGCCTCTTTGCATTCACAATGAGTCTTGACAGTGTCCAGGCCCTGAGTTCAAGCCCCATGACTGATTAAAAAAAAAGTTTAACTACTTACCAACAGTATACCAACTAGCATCTGTCAACTTGCTGATAATAGCTTCCTGAAAGGATCCATCAGATGTCCTTGTTTCAACAATCGCTCCGACCTAAAATATGAAACCCAAATTTCCTTACCAAATCACTCTCACCAGCTATATGATATGATATACCAGCTATATGATATGATATGAATATATATATTTCCTCCTTACTCTGGTTTATCTTTATCCTTTACAGTGTTCCTATCTTTGTTAAGTAATTTGAGACTCAAAACTCTTAGGCATAAGTAACTATTTTGCAAACTGAAAATTATGGCTCAGAAAGGGCAAATAATTTGCAAAGTCCAGGATGAGAAGCCAAATACTAAAATGTAAGAATGATAAAACCATAAGACAACCAAATCAGTCTCAGTTTTCTTTAACAGCAATGCTAAATATTGTATTTATCACTTGTATTCATGGGAACTTTTCTCTCTTTATTTTGTCTGTCGTGGGCTTGAACTCTGGGCACTGTCCCTGAGCTCTTCAGCTCAATGCTAGCACTCTACCAGTTGAGCCACAGCACTATTTCCAGCTCTTTCTGTTTACGTGGTGCTGAGGAATCAACCCAGGGCTTCATGCATGCGAGGCAAGCACTCTACCACTGAGCCACCTTCCCAGCCCCAAGAAGATACTTACTCTTAAAGGACCCTTTACTTGGTCATCTTGAACCAATTGTGTTGTATTATCCTGCTTCAGGAGTACCTGAAAAACATGTGTACAAAAGTTGGCATGTTGCTTTTAAACTGATACATTTATAATAACACTGTAAAGGATACACTATAAAGGATGCACTGTACTTTCTTAGTACTCTGTGGTCACCTCTGGAGTAACAGTTGTTACTTTGTTGTATATTTACCTTTACTGTCTCTCTCATTAACTGTGAGCTCCTTGATGGCTGGAGCCCTCCTTTATTACTATATCCCCTGCAGTTATCAAGTGTCAGTGCATAGTACTGGTATTTAATAACTGTTCACTAAGTGAACTATAGAAGATTTACAATCTACAGTGATTGCTGTAAAATCTTAAAACTGATTTTAGTGAGTTTTATTAGTTAACTCACAAAAGATACAAATATATGTATATGTGTGTGTATACATATATTCATTTATTTTATTTACTTTTTTTGTTGGTTGTAGGGCTTGAGTACTGTCCCTGAGCTCTTTTGCTCAAGGCTAGCACTCTACCACTTTGAGCCACAGTGCCACTTATAGTTTTCTGGTGGTTAATTGGAGATAAGTCTCATAGACTGTTCTGCCCATGCTGGCTTTGAACCACAAGTCTCAGGAGGCTAAGACCTGTGGTGGCTTATGCCTGTAATCCTAGCTCCTCAGGAGGCTGAGACCTGGTGGCTTATGCCTGTAATCCTAGCTCCTCAGGAGGCTGAGACCTGGGGATTGTGGTTTGAAGCCAGCCAGGGTAGAAAAGTCTGTGAGACTCTTATCTTCAATTAACCACCAAAATGCCAGAAGTAGAGCTGCGGCCCAAATGGTAATCTGAAGGAAAAAAAAAAAAGCTCAGAGACTCAGGCCCTGAGTTCAAGCCCCTGAGTGTACAAAAATAAATAAATAAAGATCCACAATAATGCTAATACATACATAGATATGTAAGAATCTCATATTTAATAAGAAAATTTTAGCTGGGCACCTGTGGCTCATGCCTACTCAGGAGGCTGAGATCTGAAGATCAAAGTTCAAAGCTAGCCGGGGCAGGAAAGTCCATGAACCTCTTATCTCCAGTAAACCACCAGGAAACTGGAAGTGGTACAGTTGGCGCAAGTGGTAGAGTGCTAGCCTTGAGCTGAGGGACAGCACGCAGGCCCAGAGTTCAAGCCCCGTGACCAACAACAACAAAATATTATATAGTTTTATACTCCATACGCTATAGAAAATAAATAAATGCTAACTGACATTCTAGTAATAAAGTTTCATCAGCAGATCAAAACATACACAGAAATTTTATAATAATCATGAATAAAATCTATCTTCCATACAAATGACACTCCTTCATTCAAGGACTCAAACTTTAACATGCATCAGAAATATTCACAGTGCTTGTGAAAACACAAGTAATAAACCTTACCCCCAGAGTTACTGGTTAGAAAGCCTGGGGTAGGGACTTGAGAAATCAGCATTTTTGAATGACTTCCCAGGTGAAGTTGATACTGTTGGTATTAGAGTCACACGGTGAAAATTATTGCTGCTATTCACTCATTCATTCACCAGGATGTATGGCACAATACTTTCAGTTTGGGGTATAAAGTAAGTCAAATATGTACTCTTTTGATGGTTCTTAATTTTGATATGAAAACATCAGATACATAAATAAAGCAAACTGAAGATACAGTATGCGTCAATAATAAGAATGTCACGACAGCCACAGTATAAAATCTGAAGGACCACACCAAATCTTTTTGGAGTATTATCAAAGGAAGAGTTTGCTGAAATGTAGTTTCTAGCTCCACAGTGTTACAAATATTTATATAAGCATGGATTATTTTTATACCTAGGTAAAAACTGCAGGTACAAAAATTACTAGAAGGAACAAAAAAATGTTAATGGTATTTCTGAGAAGTAAGATATGGGTATTAGATATATCTGTACTTTCCTATTTTCCCCAAATACTGTACAGGAATGTGCTTAACATTTTTCTGGTCATGAAAGCATCAAAAGTTTAATTCCCAGGGTAGTTCTTTCCAATCACTGAAACTGCCTCCACTGGGTTATTATGAAAGGGGTAAAATCAGATTATAGCTTAAGTAAGTACACTGCCACAAATAGGAACAATCCAAATGATAAGAGTGTGTGAACATGAAATTCTGAAAGTATATTTTGGAATGATTGCTCAGTTTGAGGGTTTTTTTTTATTAATAAGTTTTTTTTTAATTGTGAAAATACCATACAGAGGGGTTACAATTACTTGAGCAAGGTAATGAGTACATTTCTTACCAAGCATTGTTGCCTCCTCCTTTGTTTCTCCTTCCCATCCCTGCCCTCCCATCTCCCCACCTGCCCCCCCATCTCCCCACCTGTCCCCCACCCCAGTTTGAGTTCTTATTCCTCAATTCTTACTGCGCTTTCCTGTAAGTGTAGTATAGAACCAGAGCTGTCACCATAGTATTGATTCAATCAACAAAACCATCATTTGCAGTATCCCCCTGCAATTAATGAAACTTCAATCTCTTCAATTCAGTTAATAAAACTGTTGCATGAAAATAAATGTATTACCTTCACTTTCACTAGCCTTTTCACAGTTTTAATCTTTGCCTCACAGAAGGCACCTCGGTACTTGGCGCTGACATCCGTTCCCACTGTGAGATAGGCCGGCTCATCCGCCGCCTAGGAAAGGAACACAGAATGAACAACACCTCTGTTTCCTCTACTCCAACTGCAACAGCATGTAGGGGTTTTGTATTTAAAGTAGTTAGAACAGTCAAATAATTTGCTAATTGCTACCATCAACAATTTGAAAAATACCCCTAAAACATACACTTTATTAAGAATACTTTATTTTACATATTGATGTCTTGATGCCATACAAAGTTTTAAAGTTGCAATTAGAAATTATCAAGCAGGAAATGTAATACTTGTTTCACAATTTTTTGAAATTCTACAATCTATGTAAGAAATGAATATATATATATATATATATATATATATATTCACATGGAATATCTCTGACCATAAACATTTTAACACGTCAATAAGAACATTTCTGACCTCCTGATAATTTTGCTTTTAAATTAAAAGAATTTGGTACTAACTGCATGATTACATGTTCAGTGATACAGCTTTAGAAAGGCAACATCTTTTTAGGTACAGATAAGAAACCAAGCTAACCCTTTAGCTTTTTGCAGCTAAATGTTGCACTTAAAATGTTATGTCTGAATTGAGCTTATTGGAAGCAGGTACAAACTAAGGGCTCAAGACTGTAGTCACACATAGTTTACCACAGAATTTTCTTAATATTTTAAAAAGAAAAAACAAAACAAAACTTTATTCAGAAACATCAGCTCACACTTGTAATCCTAGCTACTCAGAAGACTGAGAGCTGAAGATTTGGGTTTGAAGGCAAGTCTGAGATTCTTACCTCCAATAAACTACTAAAAAACAACACATCAAAACAAACAAAAACAGAAGTAGCCCAGGCCCTGGGTTCAAGCTCCAGAACCAGCACCAAAAACAAAAACAAAAAACAAGAAATGCAATTTTACTTTTAGCAAATGGCTATCATCACAATGATACATAGATGTGAGAAATTTTGTTCTACAAGTCAGTTACAAAATTATTGCAATCTCAGTCTGTCATTTTACCTATGCTTTTCAAAAGTTACATGTAGTCATAGAAGTTAAATACAACACTACTAAGTACGAAGGTAGGTGTTTTCTTTAGCTACATTTTTTAAGCAGAAAGTAGTATTTCATTTTCCAGGAAGTTTTCCCTAGTAATATTAAAGGTTAGAACTGTCACTTCAAGAAAATAGGAAAGAACAAATTAATAATAAATTTCAAAGCTTAATACACAAAGACAGTACATGTGAGATGAATCCAGCATTTAAAATCATAGCATTTTGCCCAATTGCCTGTGGCTCACACCTATAAACCTAGCTACTCAGAAAGCTGAGTTCTGAGGATCCCAGTTCAAAGCCAGCCCAGTGAAGAAAGCCTATGGACTCTTATCTCCATTTAATCACCAAAAAGTCAGAGGGGAAACCTTGGTTCAAAAGGTAAAGTACTAGCCTTGAGCAAAAATAAGGGATACCAGTACTGACAAAAAATAAAGTAAAAATCACTGCATTTACCAAATGTGCAAATTGAAGAGAAATAGTTTTGACAAATAAATACCTGCCCAGAAATATTCAATAACCAGGGTACCCTGAAGAATGTTGTAATATCTTTCTTTTCTTTCAATCATCCACTCACTTACATTTCCAAGATAAGGCATTGTAAGAATATACATATATACATATATTTGGTATGGTCATACATTTTCAAAATATAAAGATAGAACTAAAACTCAGTGCTACTAGTTTTAGTCCAACCTAAAATATTATAACCAAACAAGTGCTTTATGCTCAGAAATAATGGTATCTTCTTCATTCAAGGCATATATTCTTTCTCTTTCTCTTACTTTATTCAATCCACTAATTTTTCCTGGCAGCAGGGAAGAAAAAAAAATTCAAAAAATCCCCCAAAGAACTAAAACAGGACAAAAGCTTTACTTCTGCAAAGGTTGCTGCCAACACAGGAAGTGTTTAAAAATACTAGCCCGATGGTCAACAATTGAAAGCCTGCAGCAGCCTTTCTAAAGAGCTACTATAGAGGACTGAGCTGACTAGATTTAGCCCTATATTTCTCACCCAGCCACACGTCTGTTCCCTTTCTCTAAAAGTGCTGTTTAGTAGAGAAATTCATATGCTAACCCCAAAAATGCTGCTTAGTAGAGAAATCCTTTAGAAACCAAAAAAGAAAAAAAGAAAAGAAAAAGACATTCTACGACAGCAGCCTCACAACTGTCAATGTCCGGGGCACGAGGTTCAGGAGAGTTGACTCTACTTACCTTCATTTTTATTGGTGATCGGTGGGGTTCCAGCTCAATGAGTTATCTTCCCAGTCGCTAGAATCACGGAGAGAGGAAAGACAAGCACAGAATCAGCCAAAAGCGGGAGCGACGGGGGAAAGAAAGTAAACAAACGCCAGCGGGGAGGGGCACAATCCTTCCCCAGCCAAGGGCTGAGACCCCCTCGGAGGGCAGTCAGAAGGTAGGAGCCAGCGGGCAGCCAGAGCCTCACGCGCGCCAAAGGGCAGCCCGCTCCGCCCCGGAGCTCGACAGCGGCCCACCGCGCCCCCACCTCTCGGGCCACTTTGACCCGGAATGCTCAACTCCGGAGCCCTAGGTCCGATCGCCCAGGAAAAGGGCCAGAAAGAAAAAAGACACCATCTGGGGCTTCCTGAGTCCCCCAACAGGGATGGCCACCCAGCCCCCCCCTCGCCCCCCGCTCGGCCGATTCCCGGATACCCCGACTTTGGCCCGCGCCCCGCCTCCGCCGCTCGGCCCCCTCGGCCCGCCCCGGCCCGCGGTGGCGGCAGCAGAGTGTCAGGGCGCCATTGCTCTCCTGCCTCCGCTCTGCTCCGCGTCGGGAGGGAGAAGCGCTCCTTCGCCCGAAAGGGCAGGGGCGGCGGCCTGCAGCGGGGAGCCGGGAACCAGAGGGGACCCTCGCGCGAGGAGGGGGCGGGGAGGAGGAGGGGAGGCGGCCCGGACAGGGTGTGGGAGGGGAGGGGAACCGCACCGCGGCAGCCGGCGCCTCCTTCCGCGCCCGCCGCAACTTTTTTGTACAGCCCGGAGAGGAACCAGCCGCGATCAAACCTCCGGGGGTCCTGCCACGGACTCCACCCGGAGAGGACGCCCAGTGGAGTTGGGGGCTGGTTCCCCCCCAAGCAGCCCGCTCCCGGCCGCAACGGAAGCAAACTTAGCAGCGCGGCCAACCCCACAGCCATTTTCCCGGGGCACCCGGGGAAGCGGCCGTGGAGGCGGCTGCGGCGGCGGTTCCTGCAGTTGCGACCGCTGCTCCCCGACTTTGCCCCTGCGCTCGCTGCACCGCTAGCCTGGCATCCTTTCCACCTCCAAAGCTTCCAACTGCACCGGGACCCTGGTCAGCAGCACCAGCTGCTACTGCGGCTCCGTCCATTCAGTGTGCCCCGCTTCCCTTCTCCCGCCCTACCTACTGCGGGTGAAGTGTGCGCTGTCAGCCCTCAAGTCCTCCGCCCCACCGATCGCCGTGGGCCCCCGTCCGGGCAGCACCACTCCCGGTCGCGGCGGCAGTTCCTGCGCCGGGTTCCCCCACTCGCCCCGATTTACTGCCACAATCCACCAAATAACAAGCTGTTGAGCAGACTCGCTTCCACACGAACTCCTATTGGCTGTTCATGACGCCGAAGAGCTTCGGATAGGAGCTCGCGACCTGCCGTTCTCATTGGATGTAGCCCTGAAACTTCAACGATTGGTAAGAAAAACAGCAGGTAGGACATCTGCCACTTCTGATTGGCCGTCTGCGAACGCCAATGTTATTGGAGGACCGGAGATTGAGTAAGCAAGTACTGGAACGTGATTGGTAGAGACGACTCCGGATGTGCTTGACTGAGCACTGATTGGAGAACGGAGGGGTCAGGAAGAGCAGTTCGGTCCGAGGATTGGCAGTGGAGTGTCCCATGGAAACGGAACCCCAGAACTGCGGCCAGGGACTTCGCACTGAGGGGTGGGGGGGGCGGGGCAGCCGCTCCGCAAGGCGCCTGCGCGAAACCGGCTTCTCGGCGCCATTTTGTCCGGGCAGCATTGGCCGCAGCGCTATCGCGTTTTCTGTTTCTGGGGTGCACGGAGCGGCGTGCCTGGGTTTTTTTTCCCCTCTTTTTGCGAGAGACTCATTTTAGCGTGCTACTCATCCACTGTTCACCCCGGGACAGCACCCAGCGGAGGTCGAAGGGAGTCGAAGAGCCGTCTGAAAGGTGAGCCGAAGGCTATGCTTATCGGAGCGACCGGAGGATGGCGCAGCTCCGGCGGCGGCGCCGGCACCGGAAATGAGGGAGCCCGAGGCGGCCATGGTGAAGTCGCTCCTGCCGGCGGCGGGGGGGGGGGGGGGGGGGGGGGGGGGAGGGAGGCGGGCTGCGAGGCGGGGCGAGGCGTGCGCTCCCGCCGGGGCGCGCAGGTTCGGGGTGGGGGGGGAGGCTTCGCGCTTCTCTGGACTTCCCCACTGACACTGCTGGCCCCGGGAGCGCGTGTGAGGGGCCCCGGCGGCGGGGAAGGAAGGGTGGTCCTCGCAAAGCCCGCGCGTGGGGGCGCCGCGGCCCGGTGGGGCCTCCCTGACGGCTCGCACGCCGCTCGCCCCCTGCGGTCCGAGGCCCGGCGCGCCCGAGTCCACAGGCCGAGGCCGGCCCTCGCGTGCCCCGGCTGGGACTGAGGACGGCTTCGACGCAAGGACTTCCGGAAGGGGCGCGCGCGTGGGGAGGTCGCGTGGGCTGAATCCAGACCGAAACTTCACCTTCCAAAAAGTGCCCTGGACAGGTGCTGTGAGGGAAGGACCTGTTCTCAAGCTGGCTTGACCCAGAGGACGTCTTGCCCAGAGCCGAATCCACTTGTTGTTGATGATGATGATGTTACTCGTACCTGATTTTTCCCCCCTTCAGAATTATTCAGAATGTCAAATGTGCAGGGCACTAGTGGCTCACACCTGTGCTCCTCGTTATTCAGAAGGCTGAGATCCCTGAAGATCAAAGCCCAGACCACGCAGGAAAGCCCGGGAAGCTTTTTATCTCCAGTTAAACACCAAAAAAAAGCCAGAAGTGAAGCTGTGGCTTAAGTGGTAGAGAGCTAGCCTTAGAGGACAAATGCTCAAAGAAAAAGTCCAGGCCCTAAGTTCAAGCCCCACGACCTGAGCAAAAAAAGAAAATAGAAAAAGAATGTCAGATGCATATCAGTGTTTCTGCTGAGTGACCTACTCACAAGTATTTATTGTTTTGTTTGTGTCTTGGCAGTTGTGTGAAGATAACAATTCACATCAGTGACACAAACTCCAACATATTACGGAGGTGAGTCCTAATGTATACTAAGTAAAATCTTGATTAAACTTCTGCGGACTGGTGGATAAATAGAATGTTAGCTGAAAGTTGTTTTGTTTAATCCAGATCAAATAACTGTTTAATGAGCCTGTTGATAGGGTGTTTTAAGATGAAATCTTCCAACCTAAGACATCCTTGTAGATTTGTTTACCAATTCATGTGGTTCTCATTTCTAGGCTTTTTTTTTTTTTTTTTTTTACTTTTTTTGCTGGTCGTGGGGCCTGAACTCTGGGTCTGGACACTGTCCCTCAGCTCTTCAGCTCAAGGCTAGCACACTACCACTTGAGCCATGTGCCACGTTCAGCTTTTTCTGCTTATGTGGTGCTGAGGAATCGAACCCAGGGCCTCATGCATGCAAGGCAAGCCCTCTTCCTCTGAGCCATCTTTCCAGCCCTCATTCCTGGGCTTTTAAAGCACTTAATGGTTTTATCATGAAACACTGGAGGAAAGTATAATGCTGAGGTTCCCAGGGGTAATCATCTATAATCTTTGTATAAATTAGAACTGTCATTAATCTAGATACACAATCCACGTTAGTGGACATTTGGAAATTACTAAAAGAAGAAAATACTTAGCCGGGCACCCATGGCTCACGTCTGTAATACTAGCCACTGAGGAGGCTGAGATCTGAGGATCGCTGTTCAAAGCCAGCCTGGGCAAGAAAAGTCCATGAGACATCTCCAAGTAACCACCAAAAAACTGGAGGTAGCACTGTGGCTCAAGTGGTAGAACTCCAGCCTTGAGGTGAAGAGCTCAGGGACAGTGCCCAGGCCCAGAGTTCAAGCCCCATAACTGACAGGAAAAAGAAAATACAGATTTGTATTCCTTCCATCAAAAACCAATTAAAAGGAAGTGGCGCTGTGGCTCAAGTGGCAGAACGCTTGCCTTGAGCTGAAGAGCACAGGGACAGCGCCCAAGTCCAGATTCAAGCCCCATGACCGATCAAAAAAACAAACAAAAAAAAAAAACAATTAAAATTCATGTTTTGCATATAAATCATACCAAATTTTTTATGGTTTTGTCTTTTAAAATATACTTGTAATCACTGTATCTTTTTTTGTTTATGGAAGACATTGATTTTGTTATTGTCCCTGTGTTTGAATTCATTACCTTACACTGTCAGAAAGGCACTCTTAACTCTGAGCCATGTATCCACCACTTAAGGAAAACACTGGAAATATTAGAAATAACTTGGTCTATAAAGCATCTTTCATGGCTTCATAGTTTCACATAGGATCTGTGTATCATAATTTGTTTTTTGTTTTTTGGGGTTTTTTTGGAGGTCATGGGGCCTGAACTCTGGGCCTGGGCGCTGTCCTTGTGGTCTTCAGCTCAAGGCGTGCGCTCTACCGCTTGAGCCACAGCACCACTTCCTCATAATTGTTATTTGTAGTGCCAAGGATCAAACCTTGTGCACACTTGTCAAGTGCCTAACCATTGAGGTACATCTCCATTTCAGTGTTGCAAAGTCAGCTAAGTCCTCTTCTGTTTATTTTTCTAATAGCAAAAATATCCTTGCACATTTTTTACAAAACATTGTGCTTGAGGACTCATGTCAGTGACTAAAAATTCTAGGCATCTAGATCTTTCACATCCTTGTCATTTCTTTAGACTAAATTTCTAGAAGTAGAAATAAACATACACACCCAAAAAAATACACTTGAGAAGTTAGTCCAGCTGAGCACTGGTGGCTCATGCCTGTAATCTTACTACTTAGGAGGCTGAGATCTGAGGATTGTGGTTTAAAGCTAGCCTAGGCAAGAAAGACTCTTATCTCTACTTAGCCACCAGAAAACCGGAAGAGGCGCTAGTGAAAAGCTCAAGGACAGTGCCCAGGCCCTGGATTCAAGTCCCATTACCAACCAGAAATAAAAAGAATTGGCCCAGTACTAAGGGTGAGGCAAAAGGATTTCAACTTCAACCTCTAGGCAGCCTGGGCTACATTAAGAGGCCCTGTTACAAAAAAGAAAGAGGGAGAGTTTGAATACATAGCACAATTCTCTATCTGAAAGCTTTTTCCCTTAGTGCATTTGTATATGCCATTTTTATTACCTATTTTCCCCAATATTCTGTTTATATCTTTAGCTTTGCATTTGAACACTATGGGGTATCCTTATTCAAATAGAATTATTACTTTTTTGGTTTTTTTAAGTTGCCCTGGCTGGCCTGGTACTTTTATGTTCAGACAGCATTTTTGCGTCAGCCTTTTGAGTAACTAGGACTATAGGTATTAACTACCACATCTGGCAGGATTGTCAAAATCTAAGTGATAAAGTAAACTGCAGGTTTTTCCTTTCACTTAGGAATAGTTCCTTCACTTATGAAGTTGAGTTTTTGTACAGTGAAACATAGAAAGTGACGTTTAGGACTTTTCTTGCTCCAAACTGCAATCCTCGTATCTCACCCTCTTGAGTGGCTAGGATTACAGGCATGAGCCACCTGCACCTGGCCTGTCAGTAAATGTTTTTAATCACTGTTAGCAGTTTTCAACCTGATAAGGAGTAAGTTCTCTGTAATCATTTCTTGTGGATCATTGTGTACATTTGTATGTAAAATATGTAAAATAATAAGCTAGAATACATTTTTAACAATATTTCTGAAAATTAATGATGTTCCACAGATAGTATCTTAACCTTTAATACTCTAGAAACTTAATACTGAATTGACTTATAATTGTTAATAAAATAAAATATTTGGAGAACTCAGTAAGATGTGTTAATGCCAGAAGCCAGTAGATCATGTAATACAAGCTACTCTAAGGCTGAAAGCTGAGGATCACTGTTCAAAGCCAGCCTGGGGCAGGAAAGACTAAGACTTACCTTCAACTATCCATCAAAAAACCAAAAGTGGAGTCATAATTCAAGTACTAGAGCATTTGGTTTCTGTTTCGTTTTTTTGCCAGTCCTGGGGCTTGAACTCAGGGCCTGGGCACTGTCCCTGAGCCACAGGGGCACTTCCGGCTTTTTTTTGTTTATGTGGTACTAAGGAATTGAACCCAGGGCTTCATGCATGCTAGGCAAGCACTCTACCACTAAGCCACATTCCCAGCCCTGAGCATTCATCTTGATTAGAAATGGCTGAAGGACCACGTCATCCCCGAGTTCAAGCCCTTTGTGGACACACACACACACACATACACACACATGACTGTTTCAGTATACTTACCCCAAGACTTCTTATTCTTCAGACCTTTTGTAAGGATTTTATCTTTTTTTTTTTTTTTTTTTAATTTTATTTTATTTTATTTGAGAACATACTGTACAGAGGGGTTACAATTACATGGGCAGGATAATGCATACATTTCTTACCAAGCATTGCAGCCTCCTCCTTTGTTTACCCTTCACCTCCCTTCCCAGCCTCCCCCCTCCCCCCCACCCAATCATACCCCCCTCCCCCCCCACCGACATTGTAAAGCTGGTTTTAAGGATTTTATCTTAATGGCAGGTGATTATAAATGAATATTAACTGGCTACTAGACCATCTTATACTTCATTTTGAAAGAAATTATAAAATTGTACTTCTGAAAATGAATCATTCCTACAGAATTGCCAAATTTTAAGTGTTTCTGTAATATAAAACAGCTTTGAAAGAACATTTGGGTTGAGATGAGAATGAGTAACTCCTATCCTTTGCTATTTTTTATTGAAATCTCAAAATTAAAACATTTTTAGGGATTTATTTATCCATTCATATGGTTTCCATTTCTAGATTATTGCTGTTTGTTTATTTTGTAATTTTTTCCTACCTTGTCATTGAACTAGACTCAAGGGATCCTCCTGCCTTAGCCTCCAGAGGAGCTGAGACTACTACAGGACTACATTACCATACCTGATTTTGTTGTTGTTTTGTGCCATTCCTGGGGCTTGAACTCAGGACCTGAGCACTGACTGAGCTTTTGCTCAAGACTAGTGCTCTACCACTTGATCCACAAATGCTACTTCCAGGTTTTTCTTTTATTTTTTTTTGGGGGGGGGAGGGTCCGGTCGTGAGGCCTTGACTCTGGGCCTGGGCGCTGTCCCTCAGCTCCTCAGCTCAAGGCTAGCGCTCTACCACTTGAGCCACAGCACCACCTCCGGTTTTTTTCTTTTTGCTTATGTGGTGCTGGGGAATCGAACGCAGGGCCTCAGGCATGCAAGGCAAGCGCTCTACCACTGAGCCACCTGCCCAGCCCTACTTCCAGGTTTTTCTGAGTAGTTTATTGGAGATAACAGTCTCATGGACTTCCGTGCTTGGGATGGCTTCAAACCAAGATCCTCAGATCTCAGCCTCCTGAGTAGCTAGGATTATAGACATGAACCACCAGTGTTTGGCCACTCCTGTCTTTTTATTCTGAGTTTTTAAGTAGTACCTCATGTTTTTTTTTTCACAGAACACAATGAGTATTTTCATAATATTTTTAATTATTTGTAAAAACTTGAAATAAAGAGCTTATAACGAATAACATGGTTAGGAATAGAATGATCTCCTTAATGATAGTTTATGTTTGAGCATCTAAGCTATAACATCATATTCAAAAGAATTTTTGTCTTTCAGGATAAGATCGACTTTGTGGAAGAATTAAGCAAAGTTTACAGTAATAAAAGACTTGGAACTGCCATGTGTATTAAAAATGCTGTCTCCGGTATGTAATTTATTTTATTTTTTGTCCTGATCCTGGTCTTTGAACTCAGGGCCAGATCAGGCTGGCTTTGAACTGCGATCCTCAGATCTCACCCTTCTCAGTAGTTCAGATTATAGGTGTGAGCCACTGGTGCCTGGCTCTGGTATATAATTATACTTTATCCTTAACTAATCAAGACTGATGTGTCTGACTGGTGTGTTTGTCTTTTTTTTTTGAAAATGGTAGGACTTATTTAACTGTGCAGTTATCTCTGGAAGGTTAAGTATATGTTGAGAAGTATAACTCATTATATTGAGTAACATAGCTGCTTTCTTAAAGGTCTAGTTATTTGGGGAAAAGTTACATAATTTATTAATAGTAAAATGTACTTTAAAATATCTATGTGTACTTTGGCTCTGATAGATGTTCCCTCTGATTATATGGTTACACAGATTCATAGATGATGGTGTTGATCACTTGCAGTTCAAACTAGAATGACAACATATTTTAGGGTTTAGGTTCAGGCAGATCTGGATTACCTAATGACCTTCCTACAAAGATTTGTGCTCAAAGACCTGTCAATACAAGAGAATAAAGAAACAAGGAAAGTTATCTGAACAGTTATTTCAAAAGACCTAATAATTTAATAATGAAATCTCATATGCCAGCATATCTAGAGAATTTAAGAAACATTGCTTTAAGAAAGCAGAGTAGGGGCTGGGAAGGTGGCTCAGTGGTAGAGCATATACATGAGGCACTGGGTTCAATTCCTCAGCACCACATAAGCCCCCCCAAAAAAGCTGGAAGTGGCGTGGTGGCTCAAGGGGTAGAGCACTAGCCTTGAGCAGAAGAACTGAGGGACAGTGCCCAGGCCCAGAGTTCAGGCCCTACAATTGGGGGGGGGGGGGCGGGAAGCAGAGTAGAGGGGGTGGAGGTTTAGCTCTGCGGAAGAGCGCCTTCCTGGCAAGCGCAAGGCCCTGAGTTCGGTCCTCAGCTCTGGGGGGATGGGGAAAGGCAAGAAAGCAGAGTAGAGCTGGGTGCTGGTGGCACAGGCCTGTAATTCTGGCTACTCAGGAGTTCTGAGAACGGAGGATCATGGTTCAAAGCCAGCCCAGACAGGAAAGTCCATGAGAACTCTTTTTTTTTTTTTTTTTTTTTGTCGGTCGTGGGGCTTGAACTCTGGGCCTGGGCGCTGTCCCTCAGCTCTTCAGCTCAAGGCGAGCGCTCTACCACTTGAGCTACAGCGCCACTTCCGGTTTTCTGGTGGTTTATTGGAGATAGGAGTCTCACGGTCTCTCCTGCCCGGGCTGGCTTTGAACCACGATCCTCAGATCTCAGCCTCCTTAGTAGCTAGGATTACAGGCGTGAGCCACCAGCACCCGGCTTTCCATGAGACTCTTATCTCCAGTAAACCACCAGAAAACCAGAAGTGGTGCTATGGCTCAATGGTAGAGTGCTATCCTTGAACTGAAGAGCTTAGAGACAGGGCCCAGGCCCAGAGTTCAAGCTCCATGACCGACAAAAAACAAAAAAAAACAGTAGAGAGGCTGGTGAAATATAGTTCAGTGGTAGAACACGTGAATAGCATGCATAAGGTCATAGTTTCAATTCCCAGCACCATAAAAATGAAAAAAAGGAAACTTACAGGCCTTTAAAGGCTTTTTAATGATAATGACATGTAATCTATAAAATTAGAAGAAAAGGAGGTATTCTATAAGCAAGAATGTGATTATACAAAGGGAGCTACATTTCAAACAGTTAATAAACCAATTAGAAAGGAGTAACTGGCTAACGATTGGGTTTGGAAACTGTAGGACCTCCTTGTCGACGCTTCTAGGATTCTGTACATCAGAATTCTGTAGGGTTTTGCCCTGTTATATGGGTTTCTAGAACACTTTGGAAAACTAGGTTGTTTTCTCCCTATCCCATCCATCCCTACCCTCAAAGTAGGTTCAGTTTTTACAAGACATACATTGAGTATCATGACTGCATTTACTTATCCTTCCTCCCTCCTTTTGTGTGTCCTTCTTCTCTTACTCCCTTTCCTCACTATGTTTCAGCTTCCTGGTGTTCATTTAAACAGTTCATTAGTTGGTCAGAGAAGTTATACCGTTGGACTCCTCCCTTGAATGTGCCATTCTTCAGTCAGTTTGTTTATACATGCATATAACTATATGCTTTCATACATTTTCCACCTAATTTCCACATATGGGAGGTAATAAACGTCACATGACAAGGTTGGGATTAGTATTACTTAAGTTAATATGTATAAAGTGCAAAGTGCTTAGAATGATTTCAAGTATTTAGGGAAGTACTCAGGTTTTAGTGATGTTGTTAAATATTTAGGAGCTATGTTTAAGATTATTATAGGTGTGTCATTCCAGGAGAGCTTTAAATGTTTAGGTTAACATAAATATATAATTAAAATATCTTATTTTTTTTTGCCTTGCTTTTGAGACCTTTCTGAAGGTCATTAACCACTTTCCAACCTTATTGTATTTCTTCCCTTGAAATACCATGTGCTCAGGTAGATGACCTTGTTTTCCTAAGCAAGCCTTGTTTTCCCAGTTCTTTCCACTGTCTAAAATATTGCCCAATCTCTACATGTTAAAGCTCTCTTTTTTAAGTACAAAGTTCTTTTTTTTTGTTTGTTTGGTTTTTTTTTACCTGTTGTGGGACCTGAACTCTGGGCCTGGGCGCTGTCCCTCAGTTCTTCAGCTCAAGGCTAGCGCTCTACCACTTGAGCCACAGCGCCACTTCCAGCTTTTTCTTTTTGCTTATATGGTGCTGAGGAATCGAACCCAGGGCCTCAGGCATGCAAGGCAAGCGCTCTACCGCTGAGCCACCTTCCCAGCCCCAAGTACAAAGTTCTTAATAGCTGTTAGTATAATACAGATAATCTATCCATATTTCCTTGCAACTTTCTGTATTATATTTTAGCTTTTTTTATTTACTTATATGTCCTTAACTTTGTTCTAGACAGAACTGTACAGTATTCACTTTTGCAGGTTTAGAACCCATCATAGGTCTTGGCATTTAGAAGGCACTCTTTTATGGAATGAAAGTGTGCAGCAAGTTAAAAGATGGCATTTAATGGGCAAATGCATGCCAAGAAAAAAATACGTTTTGTTGGTACTTGTACATTCAAGAACATCCTGAGCAGTCACTTAAAACGCTCGAGGTTTTAGAAACTGGGTTACATTGTATAGCTTGTAAGACTGAACATTTTGGAAACTATCCAGAGATTAGGAATTTTCATTGTTTTCTTTTTTTATTTTTTGGTCGGTCGTGGGGCTTGAACTCTGGGCCTGGGTGCTGTCCCTCATCTCTTCAGCTCAAGGCGTGCGCTCTACCACTTGAGCCATATCCCACTTCCAGCTTTTTCTGCTTATGTGGTGCTGAGGAATTTAACCCAGGGCCTTATGCATTTGAGGCAAGCACTCTACCACTGAGCCACTTTCCCAGCCCCTTCTTATTTTTTTTTAAAGACATTATGTCATTGGGTGCCAGTTTCTCATGCTGGTAATCATAGCTACTCAGATGGCTGAGATCTGAGGAAAATGGTTCAAAGCCAGTCCAAGCAGGGGAAAGTTTGTAAGACTCTTACCTCCAATAAACTTTCCTAAAGAAACTGGAAGTGGAGCTTTGCCTCAAATGGTGGAATGCTAGCCTTGAGCAAAAAAAAAAAACCTCAGGGGCAGTGTGCCTAAGCCCTAAGTTCAAGGCCCAGGACCAGCACACATGCACAAAAAAGATAGTGTGTCAAATTTATCACCCAAGGCAAGTTTTTATCATGCTACCTGACTTTTCACAGATCTTTCTGATTTATAAGTACAAATTTGAGAAGATTTGGCTCTTGCCAAGTACCAGAATGCATAGGTCACCTGGCTTAGTATGTTAAAGAACTCAGAATCTGTCTTTTTTTTTCCTATTCACCTGTTTCTGAAAATCTGTTATTTAAATACCCCTATAAATCAGAAATATCAAACATTGACTAAATAATTTTAGTGCTTAAGGTAGAGCTGCTGATGCTGTTACCACATAGCATTAATTTCAAGAAGTATTTAATAAGATTTTTTTGTTTTTGAGGGGGCAGTATTGGGCCTAGAAGAGCTGTTCTCTAGCCCTGTATATTAAGAGTTCTAATTGTTCTTGTTGGCTAGGAAAATATATATTTCAAATAATAGATAATCAAAATCATTCATGTGTTTCCATTATAGTGAAGTTCCTACTTTTGTAAACTATTTAGTATACTTCAATATATTCTCTTTAAAACCCTGATATAGGGCTGGGAAGGTGGCTCAGTGGTAGAGCGCTTGCCTTGCATGCATGAGGCCATGTGTTTGATTCCTCAGTACCACATAAGCAGGAGAAAAAAAAAGCCGGAAGTGGCACTGTGGCTCAAGTGGTAGAGCACTAGCCTTGAGCTGAAGAGCTGAGCGACAGTGCCCAGGCCCAGAGTTCAGACCCCATGAATGGACCTCCCCCCCCCAAAAAAAATCTGATATAATCCACAAAATTGGTTCCCTTGCTTAATGTGGATGGCACCTTTTTTTGAAGGGGGCAAGGGTTAATTGATTAGATGCTAATGTTTTTACACTTAGTGTTTTTAAGTTACTTGGTATTTTGGTATACTGTAATATCTCTAAATATGACAGAATAAAAATCATTTCACAATCCAGCACAACACTTGTAATCCTAGCTACTCTGGAGGATGAGATCTGAGGATCACAGTTCAAAGCCAGCATGGGCAGGAAAATCTGTACATAAAAAGCTGAAAATGGAGCTGTGGCTCAAGTGGTAGAGCAGGAGCCTTGAACTGAAAAACTTAGGGATACCAGCTAGACCCTGAGTTCAAAACCCAAGACCAGCAGACACACACAAAATATACAAATTAATTGGTGCCTTAAGGGACTTCCAGTTGTTTAGGCACCAGGTCCTGGTGGCCCATGCCTGTAACCCTAACTATTCAGGAAGCTGAGGTCAGAGAATCCAGGCAAAAAAGTCTGTGAGACTCTAAACTCCAGTTAACATGCTTAAAGAGCCAGAAATGGGGTGTGGCTAATGATCACCTTGAGCAGAAAAAAGTCAAGCAAGAGTGCCATGAATTCAAGCCCTAGTATTGGTACCAAAAGAAAAATCATGAGATGGAGCCTCATTTTTTTCAATGTTTGTTACCTTGGGGTAGTTTTGACATGTTACTGAGTTGACAATTCTTACCCCAGTTAGGGGTCTATATTTTACAGTCATTTCAAATATAATAAAAAAAATACCCCTAATTGGGTCCCTCAAACCAAACTAGAATTTCTCACGAAAAAACATCTTTTTTTTTTTGGTAGGTCATGGGGCTTGAACTCTGGGCCTGGGCGCTGTCCCTCAGCTCTTCAGCTCAAGGCAAGCACTCTGCCACTTGAGCCACAGCGCCACTTCTGGTTTTCTAGTGGTTTATTGGAGATAAGAGTTTCACAGACTTTCCTGCCCTGGCTGGCTTTGAACCGAGATCCTCAGATCTCAGCCTCCTGAGTACCTAGGATTACAGGCCTGAGCCACCGGCACCAGGCTACAGGGCTTTCAGTCTAAAAATCTTTCTTAGTATTTATGTGTAATCGTAAAACTATTTCTAGGAATTGTATTGGATTATGTCTTGTCATGGGGCAGGAAAGCAGATTTTTATTTAAAGGAACATAATAAAATGAAAAGCCACCTTCTTGTATCACCTAATACTGCTTGAAGACTTTATATTGAGTCCTGGTGAATCAAACTTGTTTTCCTCCGCAGTTTTGAAGTTCTGCATTTTATTACATAATCTTGAAGAACTAGTCTGTTCCTAGTAAATAGTTTAGCCACAAAACTTGCTTCTCTATTCTGCTGTGCACTTCCCATTTTGTCAGATTTCCATTTAGAGGATAAAAAAATAGGTTTCAGAGTAGGCTAGTTTGAGTTTCATTATTAAAGCTCCTGAAATTTCATTTTGGAAGCCATCCAAGTATCTAGAGGGGGAGGAAAATGGTATGTCATGTCTCCACATAATACTGCTTTTCAGAACGCTTCGTTTGACCTTGTGTCATGAGAGAGAGGCTTAGCAAGAAGAAAGAGAAACTTTTTTTGCTGTCAGAAATTTTTAGTGTATGACTTGCCAGCATAGTGGCTTGCCTTTGTGCTTTCCACGCCAAATGTGTTTGAATTCATGAAGAAATTATTACATTGTCTGTAAAGGAAGAATCTGTGTTCATTTCCCGTGGACTTTCTTTCCTGAAATAAGATCTGTGCTCAGCCACATTTGCTCTACTTACAGTAGGGAAGAGTTAGAGGTCATGATAGAAATGGGCTACATTGTGAATGCAGGTTGTCTTTCAAGTGGAACTTGACATAAAATTGATTTTGAAAATCTTTTGCAACTAAAATAGTGTGTGCATAAATCAGTGAGTTACAAAGGAATTATCTGTCACTTAGAAGTGAGCTCCTCTTAAGAAGGTCTAAATAGATTGTCAGAATGGTGTTTTTGTTGTTTTTGTTTTTTATAAATCTGAATCCTGAGTAATAGTAATAATGCTATGAAGAGAACCTTGTAATACCATTCTTTCACAGCAGTGGAACCAAATTCTGTAAATTTTCTCTTGCCAAATTCACCTGGCCTGTTTTGTCAGAGCTATCTTAAACCTGACTTACTACTAAGATAAGAAAAATATTTGTTAACCCCTGTTAGTGGATAATTTAAATTTTCATCCTTACTGATGCCCTTGCTCTCCATCCACCTGCACATTGGAATGTTCTCCTAATACCTCTTGAGAGAGGGCATGGTCTGTAAATTTTTTTTACCATACATTATCCCATTTTCCAGCTAGTTGTATACTCTTCTGAAATTTTTTTAATACCCTATATAATACCCTCATTTGGATAATCAGTGATTTTTCAGCTAGGGCATGGTGGTACATGCCTTGGGAAGCTAAAGCAGGAGAATCTCAAAAGTCAGGAATTCAATGTCTGGAATACAAAACCTATCTCAAAAAATAAAGTCAAAAACGAGTTGGGTGCTGGTGATTTATGCCTTTAATCCTAGCTACACTGAAGACAGATCTGAAGATCACAGTTAAAAAGCCTGGCCTGTGAGACTCTTATCACCAATTAATCACCAAAAAGCTAGAATTGTAACTATAGCGCAAGTGGTAGCATGCTCGCCTTAAGAAAAAAACTCAGGGGCAGGCCGAGGCCATGAGTTCAAGCCTCAGGACCTGTACAAAACAAATGAGTAAGTCACCAATACCCAGTTGTATCTTACTTTCTAATTTTAACTTTCTTGGTGATGAGTGATATATAGGCAACTGAATGTCTTGAATTTTCACTGCTATCTACTCTTGACTCAAACCAGTCACACATACTAAAGAGGCTGTGTCATACTGCCTTTGTACTTAGAATGCTCAATACTACTGTTTTTCTACTTCCTTCGTCATTGCCTTAAGAATAACTCTTTCAGCCAGGTGCTGGTTGCTCACCCCTATAATTCTAGCTACTCAGGATGCTGAGATCTGAGGATCCTGGTTCAACTGACCTCGCCCCCTCTCCCCCCCCCCCCCCCCCCCAGTTTAAAAAAAAAAAAAAGGAATAGCTCTTTCATATTACATTGTTGGTACTGTTTATTGGTTCTGTTTTGTTTTTTTTTTTTTTTTTTATAGTTCAACTGGGCACTGGTAATGACTCACACCTGTAATCCTAGCTACTCAAGAAGCTGAAATCTGGGCTGGGAAGGTGGCTCAGAGGTAGGAATGCCTGAGTTGTCCTTGAACGGAGATCCTTCTAGTTTCTGCCTCCTAATAGCTAGGATTACAGGTATGCACCTTCACACCCAGCCTCTTTATCATCATCTGTTTTATAGAACTGTATATATAACTATATACAGTAAAATTCACTGTACAATTTTTTGAATATTAACACCTTTACAGGTTTATGACTAAATGTCATGAAGCTATAGTAGTTTCCATCACTAGTGACAGAACATTGTCTTGTGGTTTTCTCCTCCCATCCCAAGAATCTGATTTTTTTCCTCTGATACTATATAGTCTTGCCTTTTCAAAATGTTACAGTTCAAATTATACAGTATATGTATGAATCATATAATCTAAGCTTGTCTCACTTAAGTAAACAGCCAAGAATAGAAGCACTGGATTATATACTAAATATCAAAACTTCCTTGTTAGGAACTACCAAATAGTTTTTCAAAGCAGCTAAACCATTTTACTTTCCACTAGCAACAACAAATTTTGTTTACCATTCTCACCAGTGTTTGACAGAAAGGTGTAACCAGTGTATTCAGCCTTTTTAACTGAATACTAGAAGTAATTTGTATCTCGCTGTACCTGACATTTTCCTAGGAAATAATAAGCATCTTTTCATATACATATTTACCATCCATATATCTTTCCTTAGTGAAACAGTGTGGTGTTTTTGGCCACTTTTAAAAATTAGGCTTAGCTGGGCACTGGTAGACTCATACCTATAATCCTAGCTACTCAGAATGCTGAGATCTGAGGGCCACAGTTCAAAGCCAGCCCAGGCAGGAAAGTCAATGAGATTCTTATCTCCAATTAACCACCAGAAGACTGGAAGTCGTGCTGTGGCTCCAGTGGTAGAGCTATTGCCTTGAGCTGAAGAGCTCAGGAAAGGCCCAAGCCCTCACTTCAAACTCTATGACTAACAAAAATGTAAATAAAATAAAATTGGGTATTTCATAGTTAGTATTTTGAAAGTTGTGTGTATATTCTGAACACAAATCCTTTATTAGAGTATTTGCAGGTATTTCTCAAGTCTATTCACTTAGCATGATCATCTCCATTTCTATCCAGTTTTGAAGCATGACTGTTTTCCTTACGGCTGAATACTCCATTGTGTACACCACCAAAAAAAAATCACTGTCCTTTCTCCATTGATTTGTCCTTAACCTTTGTCAAATACTTGACTCCATTCTCTTCCATTAATAATGTACCATATCATTTGGGGCATCTGTGTTATACAGAAGGGTTAAATTCCATGAGTCAGGTATAATTCTTCTTGGGCAATGCATTGCTAGTTTTCTTGAATTACTATGGTTACACTGGGCTAGAGAGGGAGCTCTTAGTATGAAAAATCCTACTAATGTATTTTCATTAAAGAATTGTTACCCCAAGTTTTGTATAGTTTTCCAGACAGTTAAACTCTAAACGTATCTGAACTATACTTTACATTGTACTTAATTAGTATTTCTTTAAGATACTATGTATACCTTTAGTAGCTTCCTTGCTTACCACTGTGATTTTTTTTTAATATATTGTTACCCTTTTTCTGACAAGGTCTGGAGCTTACTGTGTTAATTGCTTGTAGCTCAGGTCCTCAGCAATTTGAGAACAGCCCTAAAGTCAAGAATGTCCTGCTGCATCTTCCCAAGTATTGGGATTACAGGCTTCTCAAGGCCTGTTCTGGTTCTGTTTTTAAACTCCTAGTCTGAGAGGTTTTTATTTTCTTGTTGGGGCTGGGAATGTGGTTTAGCGGTAGAGTGCTTGCCTAGCATGCGTGAAGCCCTGGGTTCCATTCCTTAGTACCACATAAACAGAAAAGGCTGGAAGTGGTGCTGTGGCTCAAGTGGTAGAGTGCCAGCATTGAGCAAAAGATGCTCAAGGACAGTGCCCAGGCCCTGAGTTCAAGCCCTAGGGCTGGCAAAAAGAAAAACCAAAGCCACAACTTTATCTTGTTGCAGTAAAGCCATAAAGAGACATGTGATGTCAGTGGCAGAAAAGTATTACTTGGTAGGGTTCTAAGCAGCTAGAGTTTCATTTTTTTATACACACACATATACACACGTACATACACGGGTATGTAAGTTTGATTATTAAAATAGGAAAATACAAGGGACATTTTAACAGGCTTTGACAGGTTGGTGAGAGTTCTTAAAAAAGACATAGTCTTAATTTACTATTTATGAAAAGGATTGTGTCAGCCCATTGAACATTAACAAGCTACAACTTGATTTTTTTCTTGTTTTAGGTCTCAGTGAACTATAGAAATAAAACAGATGGATATTATCAGATAAGTGCTTTTATTATCTAAATTCATTTGATAATGTGGAATCTTTAAAAACAAAACTTAATTTTTTAAAATATTTTTTTCAGGTGCCAGTTCAAGATAACTGCCAGTAACAAGGTACTTGATTATAAAATAAATGTATTCGGGCTGGGAAGGTGGCTCAGTGGTAGAGCGCTTGCCTTGCATGCATGAGGCCCTGAGTTCGATTCCTCAGCACCACATAAGCAAAAAAAAAGAAAAAAAAATAAATGTATTCATGTTGAAGTAAAAATGTACTTTGCTGGGTTTTTTTCTTGTAACTGGTTTTCCTCAGTAGTGGTTGCTCCTGTGTATCCTGTCATGGTTTTGATTCTTTGGTGGTCCCGATGTTTGAATTCGAGCCTGGGTGCTGTCCCTGAGCTGCTTTTGCTCAGGGTTATCACTCTATCACTTGACCACAGCACCAGCACTGCTTCAGCTTTTTCTGAGTAGTTTCTTGGAGATAAAGAGTCCTGCCTGGCTGGCTTTACCAAGACTATGATTACAGGCCATGAGCCACCTGTACCTGACAATATTTTTTCATATTATCTGTAGTGTTAGGTATGCTGTATGAAATAGTTTCTTTAGAACCAGACTTGTCTTTTAATTTTAAAAGGGTTATTAGCTATATAAGTAGAATTTTAAAACAGCACAGTAACAAACTGATGTGCCATTTATACTTTGTAAGTTGGAGAAAGTACAGGACTGGTTACCCAGTGGACTTCTCCCAATCTGTTAAATGAATGGTAAAATGTAGGAGATAATTTTAGACCATAGAAGTTACGATTTAACAGGACTGGTTTTGAGAGTTGTTTGTATACTTATTGGCTATTCAAGTTTAATTTGCCATTTACCAAGATGTTCAAAGTCCAACACCCTGTAGCTACAATCACAAGATTACCTTTTTTAGGAAAGCTTAACATTTGAAATGAGTGGGGTTCATATTGTTTGTACTAAGGTTTGGTTATGTGTGTTCTTTCAGCCCACAAAACTCAACTTTTGTTGGGTGCCAGTGGCTCTTGCATTAGATACTCAGAAGGCTGAGATGTGAGCATCACAGTTTGTATCCAGCCCAGACAGGAATGTCCAGAGACTTTTAGCTGTGTCTCAAATGATGAAATGCACTAGCCTTGACCAAAAAAGCTTAGAAACAATACCGAGGTCCTGATCTCAAGCCACAGTACTGAGACCAAAAAATAAACCAGACCATTCTACTCATCATTAGTAATGGACTACAGGGCCAAGGACTGAACCCAGGGTTCTCATGTTAGGTAGCAATATTCTTACTTCATTGTGGCATAAAAGGTGTCTGGTGTGTTTGGTTTTTAACTTCAGAGGAAAAAAATTTTTTTAAGTGATACAAGAACAAAAATATCCTTGACTCCTTACAAACTGAAGAGTCTTTAAACTCCCAAAATGAAACATCTTTCTATTGTCACACCCAAACATTTATAACTAGGACTGGCCAGTCATTTTACTATAGAAAAGTGAGGGAACAGTGCCCTCAATTATTTACTATTTGGCAGGGTAAGTTTCAAAAACACAACAGGATGACTAAGGAGTTTTTGTTTTCAAGAACCCCAATTTTGTCAAGCTCACATTAATCGTACAATTCAATGTTTAGAAGACAACATTTTAATGAAAATTGGTCAGTAAGATGTGTACTCCATTGGGCTAAATAGTTACATGGGATGTGACTGAAACTTATAACAGATTCTGAAATGTTACATATTATCATCATCTGATTCATCTTCTTCCTTCAAAGATTCCTGTTAAGAGAAAAAATGTTTAAAATTGATTCTCAATATTTTTGTATCCTACACCTATGGATAAGAAAACAACCTGAACTCACTTGCACTTGTCATTAAAAATTCCTTTATTACCAGGTTCACATTTGTAATCCTAGCCTAAAGAGGCTGAGATCTGGGGGTCACAATTTAAAAGCCAGCCTGGGCAGAGCACTGGCCTTGAACAAGAAGAGCTCAGGGACAGCACCCAGGCCCTGATTCAAGCCCCATCATACTCATTCATACATATACACTCTCTCTCTCTCCCTCTCCCTCTCTCTCTCTCTCTAGCGGAAAAGTGTTATCTTAGAATAAAATACTCAAATTAATGGCAGGCATATATTGCTCTAACCATCAATCATTATTGATTTGAGCACACATATAGAAAAGCATTAAATAGCCTGTAAAGAACCCTGGCAATTTTCACCAAAAAGTTATGTATGTATATGGTTTGTGGGGGAGCTTTGGAACTAAAACCACTTTATAAGCCTGAGTTCAACTCACATGTTTAAGTCAACCAAATTACTTCATTATTCAGTGATTTTGGTGGGACTTACCTTAGCATATTTCTCTGCTTCTTCCTTTATATCTTTTGGAACAATTTCATGTCTTCCTTTAGTTACTATAAATTAAAACATTTATTGAAAATGAAGATTATACTGTGATTCACATTACCATGCAGCCAACTCAATCCACAAGAGGTACAACTTTTTTTTTTTTTTTGGTCGGTCATGGGGCTTGAACTCGGCCTGGGCGCTGTCCCTCAGCTCTTCAGCTCAAGGCAAGCGCTCTACCACTTGAGCTACAGCGCCACTTCCAACAGCTCTTTCTAAAATTGTACTTTGAGAATACCAGATAACATACTGGACATGGTAGCTTATAAATTCCAGCTATTTGGGAAGTTATTTTCCCAGCCTAACTCTCACATCTCAACAAAACAAGGAAGGCCGGGTGGTACACACCAGATATTCCTGCTACTGGGAAGCATAAAGAAAGAACTGTGATCCCTCAGCAAAAAAATGAGACCCTAGCCGGGCGCTGGTGGCTCACGCCTGTAATCCTAGCTACGCAGGAGGCTGAGATCTGAGGATCGCGGTTCAAAGCCAGCCCGGGCAGGAAAGACTGTGAGACTCCTATCTCCAATAAACCACCAGAAAACCGGAAGTGGCGCTGTAGCTCAAGTGGTAGAGCGCTCGCCTTGAGCTGAAGAGCTGAGGGACAGTGCCCAGGCCCAGAGTTCAAGCCCCACGACCGACCAAAAAAAATAAAAATAAATAAATAAATGAGACCCTGTCTGAAAAACCTAAAGCAAAATGGCTCTATGTGTGGACCAATGAAGGCCCTAAATTTAAAACCCCAGTAAAGCCCAAAAAAAGATAAAGGAGGGAAATGCTTTGAACTCACTTTTCTGTTTCAACAAGACTAAAAAATGTGCCCAAATTAAGCTCTTTTGAAAACTAAGTTATGCTTTATAACTCTTGAGCACTGAGATAAAGCACTGAGATAGATTTTGAGAATCACAAATAACCTTTGAAAGCACTCAGGCACTACACCACACTAGGGTAAAAAACTTCATTTTTCAGTAGTATCTTCTAAAACTATGAAGTGGATTTCTTAAAATGGTTAGCTATTCACAACTTTTCCTTCATTAGACTATCTGGTAATTGTTATGGATTTGGAACACAAATTAAGAAGCAAATTAAGTACAGATAAGAAACCTCCAAAAACAACTTACATTCACCAACCCAGCTGAGCTCTAATTCGAAAGCTTTATCTTTAACTTCATCATGTACTATGTAAATTCTGGAAGAGAAAGAAGAAATTAACTTCTAGGTCATCTCCAAACACGGAAGTGAGTACAAATTAGAAGTCCCATGTCTAATGTAATTTATTTATAAGATTATCTTTTCAGGGCTGGGAAGGTGGCTCAGTGGTAGAGCACTTGCCTTGCACGCATGAGGCCCTGGGTTCGATTCCTCAGCAACACATAAGCAAAAAGAAAAAAGCCGGAAGAGGCGCTGTGGCTCAAGTGATAGAGTACTAGCCTTGAGCTGAGGGACAGCGCCCAGGCCCAGAGTTCAGGCCCCATGACCGGACCCCCCCCCCCCAAAAAAAGGTTATCTTTTCTAGTCTATTAGGAACATTAAAGACAAATTATACAGGAAGTGAACTAAAACACTTGCTCAACAAATACGAATAAAAACCTATTTAACTTTAACCAATACATTCTTTTAAAACTAACTACAAAATATACCTCAGACACATGGGCAACAGGGGCTCACACGTGTAATCCTAACTACTGAAGAGGCTGAGATCTGAGGACTGCCATTTGAAGCCAGCCCAGACAGGAAAGTCTGTGAGACTCATCTCCAAGTAACCACCAGAAAACTAGAATTGAGCCAGGCGCTGGTGGCTCACACCTGTCATCCTAGCTACTCAGGAGGCTGAGATCTGAGGATCACAGTTTAAAGCCAGCCAGCCAGCCCAGGCAGGAAAGTCCTTGTGACTCTTATCTCCAGGGACAGCACCCAGGCCCAGAGTTCAAGGCCCATGACTGACCTGCCTACCCCCACCCCCACAAAAAAATACATCTCAGAAAAAACACTGACACAAGAAAAGGCTAACATTAATTTGTCTTTACAAGGTATTTTTCTCTGCTGCAAAATTACTTCATAAGCCAAGTACAAAGCCTTTATTTCAAACTCCAGTGCCACTCTCCTCCAAAACTAAGTAAAACAGAGACAAAATACACTAAGAGCTGGGTCCCCAAACCTAGTTCATATGGTTAGATAGAATGTGCAAATAAGTGCTACGAAATCTCCAAAACAATTGCAACTTTTCAAGTTGGAGAAGTGATAAAACCAGTATCTTGTTGGATTAGTTATTACCAAAGAACAGGCTCACTGACACTGAGAGAGGAATCTTTTTAAAACACTCCCCACATTTGACTTTGATTGCTTACGCTTTCAAAACTTATTAGTGTATTCTACTTTATACATCTATTCATAGAAACCACTTAAGTTTCTTTTGTTGGTGGTGGGTTTTTGTTTTGTTTTGCTATCCTGGGGCTTTTGAGCTTCTTTTGCTCAAGCACTCTACCACTTGAACCATCCTGCCACTTCTGGCTTTTTCTGTTTACCATGGTACTGAGGAATCTAATCCAGAGCTTCATGCACGCTAGGCAAGCACTAAACCACATTCCCAGCCTTAGTTGTTTTTGTTTTATTGGTTGTGGGGCTTGAACTCAGGACCTGGGCACTGTCCCTGAACTCTTTTTGATCAAGGCTAGTGCTCTACCACTTTAAGCCACAGTGCCACTTCCACTTTTCTGGTGGTTAATTCTCCAATTAACAGTCTCAAGGACTTTCCAGCCTAGGCTGGCTTTTACCCACAACCCTTACATCTCCTGAGTAGCTAGGATTAGAAGCATGACCCATTGGCACCTGGCAGTCATTTAAGATTTTCTTTTGCTTAATGTTTTTAGGGACTGTTAATACAAAAAGAATTTTAATAATGAACTTAAATCTGGAAAAGAAAAATATTTTTCCCAGAGAAACAGTAAATTCTTTATTCTATCCAGCATGTATCATATGCATAGCCATAAACTTGTATGATCAAATGTATGATATTTGGTATAGTTCAGTGATACAGTACATATTAGCCTGCCTGAACCTCTGAGTCTCATTACTTGGGCAACAAAGAAAAATACTGTAAGTAAGCTTTCTAGTGTCCTTACAATTTTTTTTTTTGGGGGGGGGGGTCTGGTCATGTGGCCTGAACTCTGGGCCTGGGTGCTGTCCTTCAGCTCAAGGCTAGCACTCTACCACTTGAGCCACAGCGCCACTTTTGGCTTTTTTTTTCTGCTTATGTGGTGCTGAGGAATCGAACCCAGGGCCTTAAGCATGCAAAGCGAGCGCTCTACCACTGAGCCACCTTCCTAGCCCCTGTCCTTATACTTTTAAACACTGTAACACTACTGCTTAAAATGGAGCTTACTTTCTCGGAAGTTGTACCTCTACATCCCATCTGTAACTTTATTTAGTCAAACTTTTATTTTTTTTTTTTGTCAGTCATGGGTCTTGAACTCGGCTTGGGCTCTGTCCCTCAGCTCTTCAGCTCAAGGCAAGCGCTCTACCGCTTGAGCCACAGCGCCACTTCTGGTTTTCTGAGTGGTTTATTGGAGATAAAGTCCTGCCCCGGACTTTCCTGCCCCTTTCCTGCCCCGGCTTTGAACCGAGATCCTCAGATCTCAGCCTCCTAAGTAGCTAGGATTACAGGCATGAGCCACTGGCTGGGTCCAGCTGCAACTTTAGACTGGTGCCAGTGGCTCACGCCTTGTAATACTAGTTACAAAGCAGATTGAGGGGCTGGGAAGGTGGCTCAGTGGTAGAGCGCTTGCCTTGCATGCATGAGGCCCTGGGTTCGATTCCTCAGCACCACATGAGCAAAAAGAAAAAAGCCGGAAGTGGCACTGTGGCTCTAGTGGTAGAGTGCTAGCCTTGAGCTGAAGAGCTGAGGGACAGCGCCCAGGCCCACAGTTCAGGCCCCACGACCGGACCCAAAAAAAAAAAAAAAATAACAAAGCAGATTGAGATTCTGAGGATCATGGTTCAAAGTCAGCCCGGGCAGGAAAGTGAGACTCTTATTTCCAATAAACTACCAAAAAGCTGGAAATGGTGCTGTGGACTTGATCTGAAGAGCTCAAGGACAGCACCCAGGCCCAGAGTTCAAGCCCCATTACCGACAAAAAAAGTAACTTTAAGGATATTCTGGCTGGCGTATATCTCCAGACCAAAGCCCTGAGTTCACCACCCAGTAGCAAAATGCAGGAAGAAATTTTTAATATGTTAAATACATTTTCCAACATAAACACTCTTAGAATTATATGCACGGAAAAGCCAACTGAGGTGTCTTTGCAGATGGTAAGGAGGAAAATTTCAACTTACATTTTTGCAACTTCTTTAACAACATCACGGCAGGTCATTTCTTTCATCTACAGAAATGAAAACTAATTTTATGAAATAAAACTAAGAAAAACTAAAATTTACAATTTCAATATTAATATGCAAAAATGTATCCTATTAATTTAATATTAAACTTATAAAAATTCAGAACCTTCTACAAATCTTTTCTCATTGGTAGACTTGGAATTTTGGTAAGAAAGCTGATTTTCTTTATAGCTAAATGAGGATAATACGCTTACCAACCATGAGTACCTATAAGACAGTAGATACATATAAGGGACAGATGAAAGAATAAGAGAAAAGCTAATTCACAGGGTAACTGTGACCAACTTTGTTAAAATACCAACTATGACTTACTAAGTTCTTTCTACAGGTAGATTCTTCATTAGTTAAGCAAGGTTACAGTGCAGGGTAACAAAGTATATCTCCATGTGAAACTGAAAGTTATTAAATCCTGCCTATAACAAGTTTCTGACAAAGCAGTAAAAAATTTATGGATACTATATATAAAGTTGATTGGTTTGGGGCTAAACAGAAAACTAGGTTTTAAACTTTGATCAGTATCTAAACTTTTGGCTTCAGGGGAAGAAAAAGTGGGCAGTTTAACAGGGTGTAAGCTTCATGCCTTTGTCTAGGATCAAACTAAGAAGAGGAATTGGAGTATAGACTGTAAGGTTTGTTCTTATGACATAAAAGTGATTCAAAGAAAAATGATACAGGGGAAAAAACACAAACTTTTTGTTGTAGTTGATTCTATGACATTAACTCAATTTGAAAACACCAAAAATTTCAAGAGCTCAAGAAGGATCTATGAATGAGCTTCAATGACTTAGTAACATTACAAAGGAAGGTGTTTTTTTGTCTTTCTGAATTGAGACTGGTTTATAGCACCCATTATGTTTCTAAAGGGAGCTGGATACTAGTGGCTCATACTTGTAAAGTCCTAGCTTGCAGGAGGCTGAGATCTAAAAATCACAGTTCAAAGCCAGCTCAGGTAGAAAAGTCCATTAGACTCCCATTAGACTCTTATCTCCAATTAATGATGAGATAACAGTAGAGCTGTGGCTCCAAGTGGTAAAGCACTATCCTTGGTCTAAAGAGCTCAGGATCAGCTCACAGACCAAGCTCAAACACCTGGCTGACCAAAAAAAAATTACAAAGGGACCAATGATACAATTCCATAAACGTGATCCCACTTACAAATGTAACTACTTAGCTTCCAAAAATGTTATAAATGTCAAACAATATAATATCCTTGGGTTGAGGTCTCATTTTTGTTGATAAGCTTCACTGAGCAAAATTCAAGCATTAAATATATATTACCTGCAGTTTTTCTATTTCTGTCTTTGCAGCTTGCCTGGCTTTGCCAATGGCACAGCCCCAATAACCCTATTAAAAATCGAACATACAATCATTCAGTTAGTAAACTGTATCATTAATGAGCACGGCTATTTAAAAGCAAATAACAAATGTGTTCAAGCATTCTTAATGTCCAATTACTCAAAAAAATTTAAATACCAAACTTAAAAACCAGACTTATACACACTAGGCAAATGCTCTACTACTGAGTTCCACATTTAGATTTAAGACATAATATTTACAATATTACATAGCATACTGAAAGCCACAAAATTTCCATCTATGTCATAGCCATAGTTGTTAATGATAAGCAAGAGAACATCACTTTTTTTAATGAATTTTAAGGAAACTTCATGTAATCCAAATGTAAAACAAATACTAATGAGATAAGAACTTAAAATAGTTCAAAATACTCACATAAGAAACACCTGATGGGTCAATCATGTACAGTTGTGCACCATCATTCACACTGTAAGACCCTAACATGAAACTGCATAAAACATTTAAACCAAAGGTTAGTAATACTAAGTATGTATTTCTTCAGAAAAAAGAAAAAATCAAAATGATGTTAGCTGCTATGCTAGTGCTTCACACCTGTAATCCTAGCTAAGCAGGAGGCTGAGATCTGAGAGAGGATGGAGGTCTCCCAAAGCCTATGAGACTTTTTTTTTGGTCAGTCATGGGACTTGAACTCAGGGCCTGGGTGCTGAGCTTTTTTTGCTCGAGGTTAGTGTTCTACCACTTTGAGCCACAGCATTACTTCCATATTTCTGGTGATTAATTAGCGATAAAGAGTCTCACAGCATTTCCTGTACAGGCTTACTTTGAACCACGACCCTCAGATCTCAGCCTTCTGAGTAGATAGTATTCCTAGCATGAACCACCAGTGCCCAGTCCCATGAAATTCTTATTTCCAATTAACTACCAAAAATGCCACAAGTTGAACTGTGGCTCAAGTGGTCAAGCTCTAGCCTTAAGCAAAAAAGCTTAGAGACAGCATTCCCGACCCCGAGTTTAAGCCCTAGGACTGATACACACACACAAAATAAAAAAATACATATATATATCTATATATACATATAGATATATATAGATAGATAGATATAGCTAGCTGGGTGCTGGTGGGTAAGGCCTGTAATCCTAGCTACTCAGAAGGCTGAGACTGAGGATCATGGTTCAAAGCCAGCCAAGGCAGGAAAGTCCATGAGACTTGTATTTCCAATAAACCACCAGAAAACCAGAAGTGGCACTGTGGCTTAAGGGGTAGAGCCTTGAGCGGAAGAGCTCAGGGACAGCGCCCAGATCCAGAGTTTAAGCCCTATGACCGACAGGAAAAATAAAAAATGAAAAAATAAAAAGCTGGACAAAAATGACAGCTTCGAAGTTAAACATTTTGATAAGGTTAGTTTCAATGGACAAAATGTCATGATAGCATTCCTCTGAGAAACCATTTTTTAATATTTACACTTATTCCCAGTTATTACTCCAAATGAACTTTTTTTTCTCCAGAAGCAAAAATGCCAGCACTTTACTTTTAAAAGCCAAAAGAGTAACAAAAATTATGAAATGTAATTTTTTAATTACTGTTTAAAACTCCATTTAAAAGCATTTGACCAGAGTACTTAAGTTATATCAAAATGGAGGTTAATGAGAAAAGTGTAGTATAATTAGCTACTTAATGACATGAAAGGTATTCATAATCACAATTCAGGGACTTAAAACCAGAGAATTTATTTAAATCAGATTATAGTAATTATGTATTCTGGTTTTATCATTTCAATTCTGTATTATCCATCACTATTCAAAAATAACGTTCCTGGATACTTTTAATTATTACACTATTTCTTGGTAAGAATTTATATTAATGTTATAAAAAGGCTAAACTACTGAGGCAAATGGGTATCTAGATTACAGATCTGACTTTTGAGTATCACAAAATATTCATACCTGCAGCCAAAAGGTCTAACAGCACTGTACAGTGTATAAGCATGTACATACATAGCCACTCTGTCTGCAAGATGCTGAGGATAAAAAGAAGAATGTTAGTACATTTTTTCATTATTGTTCATGAAGTTCCTCAATATGTCAACTTACTTTTAGGGGAATGTTATAGCCAAAGTTAGATCTAAAGTTGGAAGCTTCTTCTCTTGCTATGTCTGCTAAAGAACGAGCATCTGCCAACAAACCTGCTACTGCCTGTAGAAGAGAAAGAATCAATAAAAATTCTTTAAGCAAATAAAACCTCCAATTGTTTATTAATATTTTTTTAGCTTAAAGTTCTTTATAGGCATTCTGATACTTGAGCATGGAAACTGAATTAATTTACTATGCCTAACTTTGTTTTGTCCAAAAATATATTCAGAAGTAACATTTCTAACATAATCCTACTATACCCAGTGGCTCACGCCTGTAATCTTAGCTACTCAGAAGGTTGAGATCTGAGGATCACAGTTCAAAGCCAGCCCAGGCAGTGAGACTGTTATCTCCAATTAACCACCAGAAAACCGGGAGTGGTGCTGTGGCTCAAGTGGTAGAGCACTCCCCAGAGTTCAAGCCCCACGACCAACCAAAAAAAAAAAAAAGAGAAAGCAGCAGGGTACTGATAGATCATGCCTGTATAATTTCAAGCTACTAAGGAGGCTGAGATCTGAGAATTGCAATTCAAACATGGACAGGGCAGCAAAGTCCATGAAATTCTTATCTCTAATTAGCCACCAGAAAACCAGAAGTAGGGCTGTGGTTCAAAGTGGTAGAGCACTACTAGCCCTGAGCAGAAGAGTTCAGGGACAGAGCCCAGGCCCTGAGTTCAAGCCCTGTGACAACAAAAAAAACAAGAAAAAGAACAATCTTGATCAAGAATGATCTCTACGAATTATATGTTCAAAAGTTTTGGTCTAAAAGGTACAACTATACCTCATCTTTTTTAGTCTACTGGTTAAAACTTCAGTAAGAAATAAAAATAGGACAATCTTTAAAGATTAGTGGCTTAGAACTAGTTCCTGCATATGTGTTGAGGTGACCTGGTACATTTGCAATAAAATTGGAGTCAGTATGGGACAATTAAATTTGTAGTAAAGATACAATGTTTCAGTTTTACAATATTTTACATTTCTTCCCTTTTTTGGAGGGGGGGGAGGGGAGGCCAGTCCTGAAGCTTGATCTCCGGGCCTGGGCACTGTCCTTGAGCCTCTCTGTGTTCAAAGCTAGCCCTCTACCACTAGAGACACTTCTGACTTTTTCTGTTTATGTGGTACTGAGTAATCTAACCTAGGGTATCATGCGTGCTAGGCAAGTGCTCTACTGCTAAGCCATTTTCCCAGCCCCAATATTTTACAATTCTTTCAACATTATCATCTCTGAGCAGCTGAATTGTTAGTTATAAAAATAAAAGTTGAGGGGCTGGGAAGGTGGCTCAGTGGTAGAGTGCTTGCCTTGCATGCCTGAGGCCCTGGGTTCAATTCCTCAGCACAACATAAGCAAAAAGAAAAAAGCCGAAGTGGCACTGTGGCTCAAGAGGTAAACCGCTAGCCTTGAGCTGAAGAGCTGAGGGACAGCAGCGCCCAGGCCTAGAGTTCAGGCCCCACGACTGGACCCAAAAAAAAAAAAGTGTAGGAAGTTTGCAGAATACCAGACATTTAGTAACTAGACCATTAGGTTTTGTTTTGTTTTGTTTTCCAGTCCTGGGGCTTGAACTCCTCAGGGCCTGGGCACTGTTCTTGAGCTTCCTTTGCACAAGGTTAGCATCCTACCACTTGAGCCACAGCGCCACTTCCAGCTTTTCTGTGTACATAGTACTAAGGAATGGAACCCAGGGCTTCATGCATGCTAGGTAAGCACTCTACCACTAAGCCACATTCTCACTCCCATTATGTATTACTAAACTAAAAAAAAAATCATGAAAAAAATTATTCAAACTCAAGGTACCATAAAATGAAAAGTTTAGAAACTGCTGTCTTAGACCTGCACAATTTAAAAGTACTGTAAGAATCTTTAACAACCTTTTACCTTTAGTAAGAGTAATTTTAATTTTACCAAGTAACATACACTCATTATGTATTATACAGTTTACACAATTATTTTTAATCATATGAACACTATATGAGAAAAACAGTTTATCCTTAGTTAGGTGCCAGTGGCTCATGCCTGTAATCCTAGCTACTCAGAAGGCTGACATCTAAGGATTATGGTTTAAAAATCAGCCTATTCCAGAAAGCCCTTAACTTTTTTCTTTGCCAGTCCTGGGGCTTGAACTCAGGGCCTACTTAGGCTCTGTTACTGAGCCTCTCTGTGCTCAGGGGTAGCGCTCTACTACTTGAGCTACAGAGCCACTTCTAGCTTTTCCTGAATAATTTATTGGAGGTAAGAGTTTCACAGACTTTCCTGCTCTGGCTGGCCTGGAACTGTGATAGATCTCAGGCTGCTGAGTAGATAGGATTACAGGCACCTGAGCCACTGGAGCCCATCCCCTTACGACTCTTACCTCTAACTACCAAAAAAATACCAGAAGTGGAGCTGTGGTAGAGCACTAACCTTGAACAACAAAGCTCAAGGACAGTACACAGGCCCTATGTTCAAGCCCCAGAACCAGCAGGGAAAAAAGTTTATCTTTGCCTTACAAATCAGGAGACTATTTAGAATTATGTCCCAAAGGTGACCCAACCTAGTTAAGTTTCAACATTTAAAGAATCATAGAAGCCGAGCCCCAGTAGCTCACACCTGCAATCCTAGCTACTCAGAAGGATGAGATCTGAGGATCAAGGGTTCAAAGCCAGCCAGGGCAGGAACGTCAAGACTCTTATCTCCAATTAATCATCAGAAAATGGGAAGTGGTGCTGTTGTAGCTCAAGTGGTAGAGCGCTAGTCTTGAGCTGAAGAGCTGAGGGACAGCATCCAGGCCCAGAGTTTAAGCCCATGACCAATCCCACCCCCAAAAAAATCAGTTGCTATTACAGAACTGGTAGAATCTTATCTACTAGTGATATAAGCTGCCAAGATGTCATTTTCCGTTACAGTTTTTCTCGTGTCACCACTGGAATGCTATCCTTCTTTTCAACAATTAACTGTTTAAACCTTAGCAACTCACTGTTATCTACTATTGCCTCAATGTTAAAAAACTGGTTCTTAGAATCAGAATTCAGTGTATTTCATTCTATAAGTTACTTCCAAAGAAACTGAACAAAGCAAAAAGAGGAACACTTGAATATGTGACCTTACCATTCCAACATGCCGATCAACATTAAAAAGCCGTTTGTTAGAACCTTCTTCATAAAGTTTAGAAAGGACTAACTTCTCCACCCCAAAGACAACGCCATCTTTACATCTGATCCCAATAGCTGTACTGAAACAAGAAAATCAATTTAACTGAAAGAAGAATTGTAAATTTAACAAAACCATAAAGAGGTAACATTCAGCTGGGCACTGGTGGCTCACTGTAATCCTAGCTACTCAGGAAGCCAAGATCTGAGGATCACAGTTCAAAGCTAGCCAACGAAGGAAAGGCCAAAGACTCCTACCACCAAAAGACAGAAGTGAAACTGTAGCTTTAGTAGTATAGTGCCAGCCTTGAGCTAAAAGAAAGCTATCAACTGTGACTAATATGATCTTGTTTTGCTTCCTTTGTTCATTCATTCCTATTTTCCTTTTAACAAATATATTGCTGCTAGTAAACATACGAGAATAAAATGTTCTACCACAACTATTTAAAAAATTAACCTAGCTGGTCACAGATGGCTCATGCGTGTAGTCCTAAACTACTAAGGAGGCTGAAATCTGAGAATGTTCAAAGCCAGCCCAGGTAGAAAAAAAGTCTCTATGAGACTCTTATCTCCAATTAAACACTCAAAAACCGGAAGTGACACTTTGGCTCAAAGTGGTGAGCACTAGACTTAGCAAAAGAGCTCAGGAGAGTGCCCAGGCCCTAAGTTCAAGCCCCACAACCACCAAAAAAACAAAAACAAAAAACTCAAAAGCTAGAGAAATTGGACTGGGAAGTTGGCTCAGTGGTACAGCGCTTGCCTTGCATGCATAAGGCCCTGGGTTCGATTCCTCAGCACCACATAAGCAGAAAAAAAGCCAGAAGTGGCTGTGGCTCAAGTGGTGGGGCGCTAGCATTGAGCTGAGAGAGTGCCCAGGCCCAGAGTTCAGGCCCCACAACCGAGGGAAAAAAAAAAAAGGCTAGAGAAATTGCATAATCAAAACAAAACATGTTAGTCAGATGCCAGTGGCTCATGCCTGGACCATACAGTAGTGGTCTATAAGAGGCCTCCCAAGCCGGGCGCTGGTGGCTCACGCCTGTAATCCTAGCTACTCAGGAGGCTGAGATCTGAGGATCGCGGTTCAAAACCAGCCCGGGCAGGAGAGACCGTGAGACTCCTATCTCCAATAAACCACCAGAAAACCGGAAGTGGCGCTGTAGCTCAAGTGGTAGAGCGCTCGCCTTGAGCTGAAGAGCTGAGGGACAGTGCCCAGGCCCAGAGTTCAAGCCCCAGGACCGACCAAAAAAAAAAAAAAAAAAAAGAGGCCTCCCAAAATCTGATGAAACCATGGAAGTTCATTCCCAGAAAAATGAAAAAATGCACAAAAATTACCTTGCAAAATTTTGTCTTTCCCCCATACTTTAGGTATCATCAAGTGGTAGAGCGCTCGCCTTGAGCTGAAGAGCTGAGGGACAGTGCCCAGGCCCAGAGTTCAAGCCCCAGGACCGACCAAAAAAAAAAAAAAAAAAAAAAGAGGCCTCCCAAAATTTGATGAAACCATGGAAGTTCATTCCCAGAAAAATGAAAAAATGCACAAAAATTACCTTGCAAAATTTTGTCTTTCCCCCATACTTTAGGTATCATTAGTGGCTCCCCTTTAAAGTTTAAACTCCTCTTCCCAGATGTCTGGGTAAAAATCCTGAGAATCTTGTCAGAGTTCACCAAATACACAATTTTGTTATAAATCCTGGACTCTACTAAATTTCACCTCACTGTCATCCCTCCAGCACCTCTAATGACATGCTCACTGTTGCCTAATGTCTTTGAAGTTATTCTGAGTAGTAGGGTTTATTTCCCCCTTGTCACTCAAGGCACAGTTAAGTCTATTTCCATAAACATTTGCAAATTTCCTTGATGTTAATCTCTTACAGCCTGTAGAAGGCTTTCCTAATTATTCCAACTCACCTTCCTCACTAATGTTTAGAATCTACCACAATCTGTATTTTAAAACTAAAAGTTCTCAACATATAATTCTAGAATTTCCTGGGAGGGAATGTTATAGAAAGAATTATATTAAGCATACAAAGACGGTCAGGTGTCTGTGGCTCACACCTATAATCTTTGGCTACTCAAGAGTCTGAGATCTGAGGAATGTGATTCAAAGCCAGCTAGAGCAGAGAAGTCCATGAGACTCTTACCACCAATTAACCACCAAAAGGCATTAAGAGGAAATGTGGTGGCAAGTGGAAGAGTGCTATCTTTGAGCAAAAAAGCTTAGGGACAGTGCCCAGGCCCTGAGTTCAAGCTATAGGACACACACACACACACACACACACGCCCTCATCTATGCCTTGTCCACTTGTGGACTGATGGTTCAGAAGCAATGGTGTGTAGATAACATAAATCAAGCTAGTGACAACAATACACTGCTAAGGACTATACTCTTTACCCCCTAATCACAGTTCTAAAAAAGCTACTTTCAGTTAAGAATGTCCTAGATTAATGTTTATTAATCTCAAACCTTAGTTTGTTCATTGTTCCTTTCTTCCTTCCTTTTTGGTGATGGTCCTGGGACTTGAACTCAGGGCCTAGCCAATGTCCCTGTGCTTTTCTGCACAAAGTGCTGCATCACCTAAGCAACAGCTCCACTTCTAGCTAATTACTCAGGAGGCTGAGATCTGAGGATCACCATTCGAAGCCAGCCCAGGTAGGAAAGTCTATGAGACTGCTACCTCCAAACTACCAGCAAATCCAGAAGTGGAGCTGTGACTAAAGTGGGAGAGCACCAGCCTTGTACGAAATAGCTAAGGAACAGCACCCAGTCCCTAGTTGACACCTCAGTACCGGAACCAAAAAACAAAAGCATTATCCTCAAACTGACATGTTGAATTCAAACCTCTTTGTGCAATTAACAATATAAATAAAGCTGGGTGCTAGTGGCTATGTGTATATAACAAATTAATAATCAAGAATCTCAAAAAGAATAATGAACTGGCAAAAATGATCATGAATGTGGTTTTAGCCAGGTGCTGGTGGCTAACACTTGTAATGTTATCTATTCAGGAGACTGAAATCTGAGGATTGTGGTTCAAAGCCACCCTGGGCAGGCAAGTCCATGAGACTTATCTCCAGTAAACCACCAAAAAGCTGGAAGTATAACTGTGGCTCAAATGATAGAGTGTGAACTTTGGGCAAAAACGCTCAGGGACAAGACCAGGTGGTGTTCAACCCCAAGGACTGGCACAATTTTTTTAAAAAGTGTTATTTACTACTCACTTAAAGCATATTTATTTCAAGTAAAACAATGTTTCTTACCTACTATTTTCCACCGCTTTCATAGCATATTCAACTTGAAAAACTCTTCCATCAGGAGAGAAGGTAGAGGCTGACAGGTCATACTAGGTGAAAAAGGACAAGGATAAGTCTATAATACCACATCTTTGGCAGTAATGACAACACAATGTTTTTGTCTCCAAATGTGTTACACATGAGGAATGTGTTACATCCCAACACACAGTGACAGTGGTAAAGAGAGTTACACATCCTCGACTTCTGCCTCTGAAAAGTAATGAGTGCAAGTCTTCTGAACTTATAAACAGTACTAAAACATTTAAATTTGTGGCTGTGCTATTAACAAACTGAAAGACTGGTCTGATTTTAGTTTGTATGAAACCAACGACAGCCTGGCAGACTCAAAGCTATATGCCAAAGTCACTATGTGAGAACACGAAGATAGTTATTCTTGAAGGACATTATTTTCGAATTGGACCAGGCATAAAGCTAGGTGGAAATGCACCAGGAAAGGGAAAAAGAAAAGGACTCTGTGCCAACGGATCACACCTGTAATCCTGCTCATAAGGCAGAGAAGGATGGCAGTTCAAAGCCAATCCAGGCAGAAAACTCTGTGAGACTCCTATTTCCAGTTTACCAGCCAAAAGCCAGAGTGGAGCTATGGCTAAAATGATAAAGCTTCAGCCCTAAGCAAAGAAAAAGTTAAGCCACATTGTGTGGCCTTACTTCACAAGCCCCAGTCCTTGTTTTTTGTTTTGTTTTGTTTTGTTTGGGGGGGTGGGGGAGTGATGGAAAGAACTACAGCAGACTGCTTTGCTAGAACAGGCCTTCTGGGGCAGTTAATTTTAAGATGAGTCACACTTAATGCCAAGGAACTAGCCATTTAGGAAAGATAGAGGAATAGAATTCCTGGCATCTGACACAAAAACCTTATGTTCGTAGAAGCAAGCTTAACCCAGCCAAGGGACAGAAATAAGGTCACTGTGTCTTAAGTACTATGAATAAGAGAGTACACTATGCTTCTGAAGGGAAGAACCAAATCTGTTGGGTCTCAGGCTGGAATAGCTAGTTTACATGTTATTCTAAGGGCTGAGGATTTAGGAAAGTGGCAGAATACTTCTGTAGCATTTATAAGGCTCAGGGTTCCATTTCCAGCACTACAAAACAAAATAAAATAGAAAAGAAATTAATCAATTTTTATTATTGTTTTTACTTTAGCACCTGAAATTGTGCCATTCACTGAGCTAAAGATTATAGGTTATGTTAGGAAAAACCCCAAAGCTCTACTTTGAAACTGCATGAAATAATGACAAAAAAAAATGCATGGTGGTACACACAAGTAATGAGAGCATTTGGGAAAACTGAAGCAAGAAGATCACAAGTTAGAGGCCAATCAAGACTATATGTTGCCCTAGCCTCCTAAAAATAACCCCAGGCTAATGATGTAGCTCGGTGGAAGAAAACTTGCCAAGCATTTGTAAGGCACTGGGTTTAACTGCCAGCAAGGGATGAAAAGCAATAAAATGGACACAAACAGCAAACAGTACTATCTGGAATTCTTGGGGGAAGTGAAGGCAGGAGATAAGCTTTGAACTGATACTTTTCAGAGATCGTTATATCTTTTCATGATAAATTATCCTATATAATTATATTGAAACACTATTTTAAGTGGAGCACTGTTAATTGAAGTCCCTACTAATGTAGCTAGTTGCAAAGTCAGTTCGTTACTAGACACATATATGACTAGCTATGCCTATCTCCCCCCCATGGCATTCCACTTCAGCTTTCCCTCAGAGTTGATCTGGTGTGTTGGTATTGTTTTTTGGCTCTTTGTTTTACTACAGTCCTGGTTCAGTCTTCTTACAGTGTTAAGTGCCATCAAGGATGCAAGTTTTCTGGGGACATATGTCCCATCTGCAGTCACTGGCTCTCTAATAACGGCTCCTGATGTAACCTCAAGGAAGGAAGGAAGGAAGGGAGGGAGGGAAGACTATTATTGAGCACCTATCCAAAAATATCTTCAGCATAGTCGAATGGACTAGACCATTCCAAACATAAAGTCCCTATGAGGAAACTCAACAGCAGTATTTCTGCTTAATGCTGCGTCTCCAAGTATTTGGAACAAACCAGATAGATGAACCGAGAAACCACTTAGTCAATGCCACTAATGCAAATAACCAGCGAATGTTTCGTACGGAGAGAAAAGTATGAAAAAAGGACAAGCAAAATAAAAGCACACCCGAGACGTTTCACAAACTACAGTAACAAGACATGCACCACCACCCCCCAAACCCGCAGTAGTCAGAAGCATCATCAGAGTATTAAATGTTTACGGTATTATGCCAGGACGGTCTGTTAAATAACTTATACATGAAACTGAGGAAGAGTTGCAGGAAAAACGCAAAAGGCGCATCGTATTTAGTTTCCAGACTCCTCCTTCTTGTGGGTTCGGTGCAGACAGCGTTCCGAGGGATTGTTCCGGGGCTGCTCATCAGTGTCTTTTTCCGGAAAGGCAGTCAGCGGCAGCCTGGCACCTGCAAGGCCCAGAGCTGGAAACTCGCACTGAGCCATCTCGGCGGCGGGGCCTAGGCAGCGCTCGGGGGGTGACCGGTCCCTCAATCCTTCCACTCCCTACTGGAGCCTCCACTTTCGCTTTCCCGCCGTGACTCAGCAGGCCAAGGTAGTTCCAAACCCCACGGCGGCTCGGCCAAAGCGGCCACCCCTGGGCTGCACAGCCGGCGGGAGCCACCCGGCGCCCGGGGCGCGGGCCCGGGAGCCGGCGGCCAAGACCGCGAGCCTCCGGACTGCGAGGGCCTTCAGGCCCCGGCGCGCCCCACGCACCCCCGGGCAAAGCCCCCCACGCAGACTGACCGGACTCGAGCCAACGCAGACCCTCAGGCCGCACGACCACAGAGCAAGCACGCGAGACACAAACTCACCCCGGTGCCGATGGAGCTCATTTTGCCGCAGACCCACCGGGACGCGCGGGGCTCCCACGCCTAAGAGGCCTGTTCCACGGCGCCGTGCACGCCAGCAACGGGCCCGCCTATTGGCTACGCTTTCAACCAATAGCCTTCCTCTCTGTGGCTGGTTCTCAGGTAGGAGGAGGATTGTGGGTAAAAAAAAAAGCAGGCGCGGAGGTTGGCGGCGCGCATGCGCAGACGTGGTGGCGGTGGAGTTGGGGGAGGCGAGGCCGCCCCTTTCCGCTCCAGTTCCTTGGGCTTTGGCGGCTGCGCTTCTCCCCAGAAACTAGTATTTACTTTTTAATTGCACTTCTCTCCTCCTCGCTTCATTCTTCCGTGAGCAAAAAGGAGAGGTGTTCCTGTAGACGTATAAGGGAAACGCGGTAGGGGAGAGGCATCGTCTAGGCCGTGGCTTCCTGATTCCTGCCACAGCAAGGCACAGCATCAGTTTCATCTTCGAGCTCTGAAGAAGCAAATTACACTGTGAAGGTATCATCCTTCAGCCTAACTGAACTTCACCAAAGCATTAGTGCCCTTTATGCATATTGAGGATTTGAGTCGAGTTAACGATAACCCCCATGAAAATAACTTGAGCACTAATATCTCCAAAATACACTTAGCTGTTGCTGGTAAAATGGTAAATAAAATATACACCCTTCCCTCATGGAATTTGCATTCAATGAGAAGAAATAGACGGCAGAGACAAAATAGCGAAGGAAATAGATGCACCTTAGCACTAAAAACAGTAGCAAGGGTTAGCCAACTGTTCTGGATGGGTGAGGTTAGGTGTTGGTGCTTCAGCCTGTGCTCAGGTTGGAAAGACTTCAGCCAAGAGACAAAGTGGCAAGCAAAGAAACAAAGATTTATTTGCTTTCCTGGAGAGAAAAAGGAACTGACACCGTCGGAAGTATAGGCCCTGAGCAGAGTTTGAGGCTTTCTAATCTATCAACTTTATTTAAATGTTGGCAAATTTCAATGTCCTTCATAAGCAAAAGAAAATCCAAGAGTACATACTGTATCCAATTATGCTTCTCATCTCCTTTAAAGTAGAAAATAGTTGCTTAGTATTTCTTTAGTTTTTATGTCATTTCCTTCCTTCAAGAATAGTTTATTTTGTAGAATATTCCTTAAAATAGGTTTATCTGATTTTTCATGATTAGATTCAGGTGATGTATTTTTAGTAAGAATATTGCAGAAGTGACCTTGGGAGAACTTTAGATCCGGGACATAGGATCTCTATTTCTTCTATTACTGATGATGCTCATTTTGAACTTTTGCTTAAGGTTTCACCACCATTTTTCTGTTCACCACCATTTTTCTTTTATGTTGATTATTGGTTTTCTACTGTAAAGTCATCACAAGTTTTTTGTTTTGTTTTGTTTTTGTTTTTTGTTCTTTTTGTGCCTAGCCTGGGACTTGAACTCAGGGCTTGGGCACTATCCCTGAGCTTATTTTACTCAAGGCTAGGGCACTACTAATTGAGCGACAGCTCCACTCAGGCTTTATTTGGTAGCTAATTGGAGATAAGAATCTCAAGGACAGGACTTTCTGCCTAGGCTGGCTTCAAACCACAAATCTCAGATCTCAGCCTCCTGAGTAGCTAGGATTACAGTCATGAGCCATCAGCTTCTTACTATAAGGAAAATTTCACTTAAGCTTGTTTTCTTTATTTTTTTCAGTCATGGGGCTTGAACTCAGGGCCTTGACACTGTCACTGAGCTCTTTCACTCAGGCTAGTACTCTAGCACTTGGAGCCACAGCACCACTTCTACTTTTCTTGTGGTTAATATAGAGTTTAACTGACTTTCCTGCCTGAGCTAGCTTTGAACTGCTATCCTTGGGTCTTAGCCTCCTTAATAGCTAGGATTACAGGGTGAGCCATCAGCACCCAGCTTTGACTTAGATTTAAATGACGTCTCTTGTTTCTATGCAATAGCTAAAGGAAATTAAAGAAGCAGAGGGATAGAAATATGGCTCAAGCAATTCGAACATCTACCTAGCAAATACCCTAATCTCTGAGTTCAAAGCCCAGTACTACCAAAAAAAGAAACAGTAGTTGGAAAGCTGCTAGTGCAGTTATGTGGACAATTGATAATGAATGAAGATTTCGAATAGAGTGGTGGCAATGATTTTAAATATGTAAGGCTTGCTGGATAATTGGATGTATAAAGTAAGGAAAAAGGCATGTGAGTGGCTTCTTCTTGCTATTGAAACATTGTAACTGTTAGATTTTTATTCCTGAGCAAGTGGATAAGGAAAAGATTTGAATTTATTCCAAAAGTTAGCCACTTACTAAAAATGCTAGTTGCAATTCTCTGAGGAGGAGATCTTATTTAGACCAGGATAGGCCAAGGAAGTGCTGAACAAAACTAAACGTTACAGTCACAAAAAGGTTGAAAATAAAGTATCAGTACTCCACACTTGTTTGGGTATCTCGTTAAACTTTTAAATAGCTTCCCTACTCCTGTGGAATAAATGGTCTGAGTGCCTAGTAAACTCCGTTGACTTTGGCATCTTTTTCTGAACCCACTGTCAGGTAACCTGCCTACTTTGAAACTGGTTGTTGACTTTTCTTGTGTCACAGCTTTGTGATCTCAGGTTCTTTGCATGATTCTTTATGAGACTTAAACGGGTAAGGATTTGTTTTAACCAAATTACTCCTAGTTACTTGTTCATCAGGAGGTGTGGCGTGGGGAGGGGGTTACTGGAGCTTGAACTCAGGGCCTGGATCTCTCACTTGGTTTTTCAATCATTGCCAGGGCTTTAGCACTTGAGAGTCCCTTCCACTCCCTAGTTAATTTTTGATGTAACATATACAAAATTGACTTGTAATTGATGCACCTTTCCATCAGGCTATCAGTCTGTTTTGTCTTTCTGTTAGAAGACCTAACAGTGTTTTGTTTTTTTTTTTACAAAAACCATGGCATAGCTTTATTTTAAAAAACTGGTTAACTTTTTCTCTGGCCTCATTATTTTTCACATGGGCATTGCCAGGGACAAGAAACAGGTTTTCATGGCCCATTAGCACATTCAAGAAGCCCCTGGCTCAATTTCTAAGGGGGCTCTGATATATTGCTTAAGTTTCATGTGTCTTTTCTCTTTTTATCTATTTATTTATTTATTTGATTGTGAAAATATGTACAGAGAGGTTACAATTACATGAGCAAGGCAATTAGTACATTTCTTTTTTTTTTTTAATTTTATTTTATTTTATTTGAGAACATACTGTACAGAGGGGTTACAATTACATGGGCAGGATAATGCATACATTTCTTACCAAGCATTGCAGCCTCCTCCTTTGTTTACCCTTCACCTCCCTTCCCAGCCTCCCCCCTCCCCCCCACCCAATCATACCCCCCTCCCCCCCCCCCACACCGACATTGTAAAGCTGGTTTTGACATGACATTTTGTACTTCTCATTGTTACAACAGGTCCACCTGAATCCTTAAACGACTTGTTTGTCCCTGTCTCCTCCACATGTTATACTGCCTAACAGTGTTTTGCACATGGTAGATACTTCATCTAAATAAATCATAATAATGATTTTAATAATTACAAGAAACGAAGCTGGGCACTGGTAGGTCACACATGTAATCCTAGCTACTCAGAAGGCTGAGATCTGAGGATCACTGGTCAATGCCAGCCAGGGGAGTTAAGTCCGTGAGACTCTTTATCTCCAATAAACCAACAGGAAACCAGAAGTGGCACTGTGGCTCAAGTGGTAGAACACTAGCCTTGAGCTGAAGAGCTCAGGGACAGCACCCAGGCCTAGAGTTCAAGACCCACAACCGGCAAAAAAAAAAAAAAAGAAAAAGAAAAAAGAGAAATGATCATTAAATAATTATTCAACTACTAGTAATTATGTAAATACGCAACAAATCATATCTAATAAATTATAAATGTTTTAGTGTGTAAAAAATCAAATTTACTGTCTTATTCTGGTAAGTGATAAAATAATCACAAACCAGTTTGCAATTATAATAAAAACAACTTACTAGTAATTATGATATTGTAAGATTAGGATTTTAATAATCTACTTAAGAGTTAGGTTTACTTTGAAGTAACCTAAATAATTTTGACACAGCTTTTTTTTTTCTTTTGTGCACATCCTGGGGCTCAAGTCTAGTACACTACCACTGAGCTGCAGCACTACTTCCATCTTTTTCTGAGTAGTTTATTAGAGATAAGAGTCTCACGGCTTTGAACTGTGATCCTCAGATTTTAGCATCCCGAGGAGCTAGGATTACAGGTGTGAGCCACAGGCACCCTGCTGACACATTTTATTTTTAAAGTTCAGGAAACCTGATATCCAAAGTGATTAGCTAACGGCTGTATTTTTGGAAGTGCTCTAAGCATTCTTTGCTAGTCTCAGGTTCACAACTAGGCTTGAACTTGCAATTTTGAGTATCTCACTCTGTATCACAAAAACAGTGCAAAATTCCTTATGTAGAAAGGGTCACCAATAGCTCAGAATACGTATAATTTCATAGGAAGTCGTTGCAGTATCTTGGCTTGTTATAAGTTGATCAAAATCGTGTCTTTCTCTTTTCATGGTAGAAACGATTTCCTTCACCTTTAGATTCAGACACTGTAACCTTTCCCTCATATCTGGGGGTGGCCCTAGCTGTGAGCAACCTCTGAGCTGGCTCTCAGTGAACAGGTACCTGGAAGACACACACCTATTTTAATGGACTCAGAATTCCCTTTCCTCCATTTAACTTTATTGCTCCCTCCTCAATTGGTGAAACTGACCTTTGAGAGGTTGTTTCTGAATGCAGAGCTCAGCTATGTAGGATTTTAGTATGCCATTTGATAGAAGCTGTATAGTTTTTAATACGTTCTTAATTTTATGGAAAAGATAGAATTTCTAACACTTTAGAAACAAAAGTCAGTATGACAGACTCACATTAGTTTTCGGCGATTTTGAGATACGTACAAAGTAACACTCGTTAAATCTACATGTATTAAACACGTTTTCTTTCTTTTTTTGATTTTATAAACTTTTATTGCTTACTCTGTGGAGATTCACTCTTGCATATACTTTATATGAGTGAACTAATCGTGTATATAAGCATCTTACTTCTGT